TAGCGATGAACGTATTTTTAAAACTGCTCCTTTCTGTAAAACATAATGCAGTGAACATTAACAATATGAACTGTTTTGATCGTTGGTTTACGAATATTACATATTGTTACTTACATCACCCAGTTTGACTTCTTTCATATATCCAAGATAATTGACATTCTTCTCTGCTTCTTGCTTCGCGTAATAGATCCAATTATGTAGTCCAATTATATCTGAGTCAAACTGTTCAGCTAGAAACACAGTTTCAAAACCGGAACTCGACGCATCTCCGTCAATTCGTTTGAATTGAGAGAACCATATGCGCTTCATAGTATCCTTAAACTCATATTCATCATCTTGGATGTATCCTTTATCGGCCAAGAATTTCATCATTGATTTCATCACGTCTGTTTCTAGGATCTTATCAAGAAGTTCCGATTCCTCTTTTCGCTCTTCTGACGTGACCGTCTCTTTCGTTTTAACGTTAAGTTCATAGTTATCGTGTAAGGCTATCACGGCTTTCACGGTTGGAATCTCGTAAGCTTCGTTATTCACAGTCAGCAACCTGAAATACGTAGAGTTTGGAACTATAACACCAGCTTATGATTTATTTTTAACTCTAGGAGTTCAAAGTAAATGGATTCTCACGGTTCAGCAGCGTCGTCGCTGGTGCTATCATCTTTCTTCTGGCCTTGCAAATTGATCGTTATATGCTTAAGAGCACTGTTCTTCTCTTTCTCGAATAAATTTTCCGTTAACTTTTTGATGTCATCATTAGAGGTGACGAATCCCAGAGGATTAGGATTGTTTTGTGCTGAATCTTGAGAGTTTTGATTATTCGGTGATGCATTGGTACCTGCGTTATTCTGTGAAGCTTGAGATGTCTCAGCGGCAGGTTGAGCAGCTGATTGAGCTGGTTGAGGCTGAGCAATCGAACCAGCTGCTGGTTGAGCCGTAGGAGCTGCGGCAGCTGCCGGTTGATCAGAATTTGGAGGCGGGACAATAGCAGTTCCATTATTATAGTAATTATTATAAGTAATTTGGGTGTGGCTGGGGACCACTTCGCCAGTTCCGCTACTAGTGCCTCTCGTGCCATAGATTCCTCCTGGTATTAATCGATTCACGGCTGCGTTCACTCCGGCGCTCACACCAGCGAAGACGAATGCTTCTTTTGCTAATTGCCCTATACCAGGTTTCTGTCCTTGCGATAAGAGAATCGTTTGTTGTGGCGTCTGTCCCATGGATGGACTAAAAGACTGTCCAAAGCCTGGATTGTATCCACCATAAGATGGATTTCCAGGATAAGGTGCATGTCCTCCTATTCCAGGATTGTAGCTTTGACCAGGTGCTGGATTATAACCATGACCTAGAGAGGGATTGTATCCTTGACCAACTGGATTGTAACCTCCAACTGAAGGGTTGTAACCCCCAATTGATGGATTATGACCTTGCCCAGGTGATAGATTCGGGTTGGAGTTGGTATGATAAGGATTGCCGACTGGTTGACTAGGATATCCACCTAGAAATCATTGCCCATTAAATATTTTAGTCTATGAATATTACATTAATATCCGGTCTAAAAGGAGTATCGGATACCTGAAGGCTTGTATCCAGATTGAACGTTAGTCGCGCTAGTCTTAGAACTCTGTTCGGATATAGGAGCAGATGGTTTAGGCGCGGTATTGATATTGCTTCCACTTGCTGGTTTCTTATCGTTCGCAACGTTCCATCCTATTTTATCAGGAGTGGAGCCTCCTGTACAAGAAATAACCAATAATTTATGATCGTTAAATAGCTAAGTTTACTTATCGATACTGCTGGCAAGTCACCGACCAATTAAAAAGAAATTGAATACGTGAGCAGTTAATCGATAATCGAGCATGTGTTGCTGATGATTAATTCCATTGCAGAGCGCAAAGGACGCATAATATATTGTCGAATATTTTCATACGAGAATTACCTTGATTACTTTGCTGGTACGTATTTCGAGAATTTTGAGATGAACGAGGACGAGGTGTTGACCTCGAACGAAATATAGAACTCCCCCAACCACTGCTGCTCCCGGTTCTCCGTCCAGACCATTTTCCTTCTCCGATGTCGACTGTGAAAATTTACCACAATTTAAGTACGACTCAATACTTTTGAATGAAAATTCTCGGTAAATTGTACACAAATTATATATATATATATATATATATATATATATATATATATATAAATACACGTCACAAACTAATATAAGGAATTTCTACTGCATTCACTGAAACGAATTATAATTAATAAAATATGTGATAAATCTCGTTTTTTCACAGATATTAATTTTACATTCATGAAAATAGATAAGATTTTGAAATAAGGCTAAAGTAAATGTTGTCAACCTATTTTCATATTGTGTTAAAGAAAAGATTAATCCATTATTATTACATACTCTGTATAATACTATGTTACTAAGATATTTTATATAAAACATGTTTACGTTTATGTAATATATTTTCTTAGTTTAACTTTTGTAACATGGTGGCACACTTTCATCTATTGCCGTAAAACTCATGTAATATAATATAAAGAAAAAATAATTTATTTTTTTGTATTTTTAGTTCTCTATGAAAGAAGAAATTGAACTTCTTGATTGTATCATTCCTGGTATTTCTCGAATGTTTGTCGGATTTATATACTTGATATTCTATCAATTAGGGACTTCATACATTCCCAATCAATATCTATTGAGTGCAGAATTCCGAGAACAGACATTCTTGAAACGTCTTTTTACGATTGGCTTTTGGGGTCATTTCAATCTGTATAAATATATTTCTTGTTGGTTATTAGCTGAAGGGGTAAGGAAAGCATGTATATATATGTTTATAATATATACTTTTCTATAGATTATGTCGGAGATGAGGGGTCATCGGAGCCTTTCTTTTGGAATTTTTGGGAAGATCCCTAATGCTTTAGTCTAGACTATTTATTATAGCTGTACTTAAATGATAAAACTTTATGCTTGCCCGATGGTGGGCTTGGGCTCGAGGTAACACAACTGGTCGCCGAACGTAGCCACGGTCACGGGATGAAGGTTTTTACCTAACAGAGAAGTGCCAATATTGTGGGACACACGTTGTATTAACAATCAAACCCTGGGCAGGAGCAATGTCAGCTCTACGCGGGCAGCACATCGTCTGTACGTGCAGTATTATACCGAGCGTCACAGCAAACGTTACCTTGTGCTTCAAAATATATTATACGTGTAACAAAGAGTTAGCCCGTTGACCGTGGATTCGTTATTGAACCTAAGAACATTGTCACTAACATCTCGAGTGTTTAATCACCACGGTTATTTGTCAAACTTTGGAAAAATCAATATTTATACCAGTAAATATAATCTCTATTGTACAACAACGATGGCTAGTCCGAATGAAGATTCATTACGCGCCTATAAACCTAACGCGACATATATATATATATCTCTGTATATATATATATATATATATATATATAGCTTATTGTGTGAACGAATTATCTGTTATCAAATTAACGAAGCGTAAAACGAATGAAATCACTGAATAGAATCTTGACGGAGATTACGTATTCAAACGTACATTATTCTGTATGAACAGAATGCGATGCAATCATTAAAATTTAAAATATTGCACACAGAAGTTACCATTGGTTAAATAGAATGTACCGCGTCAGAGAGTTTGAAAGAAATAATATTTCAATTTTGTTCATAACGAGTGCTGCGTGCTCGAGTATATTATTCCATTACGATTCATAATATTCCACCTACAACTTGTTGAGCTTCTCTATCAATCTATGATAAATTATTCTATATAGTCACTAACAATTTAACAATTCGCTAAATAAAATAATGATATATCGTTAACACGCGAACCTGATTATTTCCATTAAATCTATTTGAATGTCAAGTATTAAACTAATCTCCATGTTTTATAAACTAAATGCTCTTTAAATATATGGGACCATAGTTCTTCAGTAATATTTTTAGGATGCTAATATTTTGTTTCTGTATGTTATTTTAGGGTAATTTTGTATTTAGTGCTACGATACAACTTTGAAAGAGCAAATAAAATCTTTGGAGTTGATTATCAGCACTCTATTACCGGAGTAGTAGTCGTTTACACAGAAACCACGGCTACTTAACGAATTTCATGAAACCTAATTAGATTTTCATGACCATATCAGCGGAACAAATTCCACCTTTCGTGGAATTGCTTGAGTGACTCAGTGCTCGCCTCCGTATGGCTGCGACTTTCTAGGGAGAGTTATGATCTTTTGCGACTTCTTTGCGACTTCGAATACAGACAAATGAACACATGATATCATGCTGGCATGCATCGGTGTGCGCTCAAGCGCAAGTAATTTAGTCTCGGCGAACTTATTATGAATTGTTTGGTTGCAGCTTCATGATGCAGTTAAACATGCAATTAAACAGTTCATAGAATGCTCTGTTCTCGAATGTTTTCTCTGTCTTTAGAATTCCTTTAGTTCAGTTATATCGTTTAGAAGCTTGAATTCTTAATCGTGTTGACACCGTAGATAGGCAGTAATTTTACAGACGTATAAATTAACATAGAAATTTTGTTAAAGTACTTTCACTTGGTCGTTTATAAGTTTAATCTCATAAAATTCCTTGTAATACATTCTAACGTGAATCGTGAAATATTGCATCAAGGTAAAACCCAGTAAATCCATTACCACATAGTTGAAACATTCAGCAAAGGAAGGACGATTTCTTTTTGCCGTTTTAAATTGGTTATGCTATTTATAAAGAAACTTACTTACCAAACACGAACAAAACGAGACTCGTGCAGATCAGAGCTATCTTGATGTTCATGTTTCTCGCTGTCTGACTATTTCGGTTGTTGATTTACAATTCAAAGTCGATAGTACGATCAAGGATTTCTTCGTAGAATGATCGATGCGCACTGCTTGACGGTTAATCCGTTACTAAAAGACTTCTCGTGAACTGACGCATACTAAACTACGCTGAAACTAGTTTGGAATTACAAAGCGAGTTATACGTTATACGTCGTGGGCTTTCTCCTCTCGCATTGATCTTTGATGCGTTCGCAACAAATAATAGGGATCTAATAGAACAAACTGGTAATGAAGGAGGTTCTTAAGGTAATGACATGTCCCTGACTTTTACCTGCAAGGACGTTGCTCTTCATAAATATTTAATGGCTCTGTTCCTTCCAGCGTCCTTTTGCAAAGATTTTATTCAGTGATTAATTGTAATTTTATTTTTCAGGAGAAACCGAATTTTACGGCCTTAAGATCGTATCAAGCCAAAAAATTGAAAAATTAATTGAAAGAATTGGAGAAGGATCCAGAAGAAAATAAAATATATTTTTTTATTTTTTACTTATAATAAGTATTTCTTCATATTATCGAGTTCAATATCGTTAATAATTTAATATTATAAAATGTTTTCTTTTTGTTAATAACTTTATTGCTGATAATGAATTATCTACATGTATAGAGCAATGTAGCCTACATTATATTGGTCCCTATATATACAATAATTACTATGTATAAAATATCTTGTATATTAAAACATTGGAGAAGCGAAATCTATAATTTGGATTCCGAAATAGGCAAATGAATGCGTATAAATGGTGAACTTAGTGGCTCCGAGGGAAACTGGGCAGAGATCATTCGGTCTTGTGTAGAAGCATATTGTGTACAAAGCCATCTCCAGCTCAGGTAAAGTACCCACAAATATTGTTGCATTTTGTCTAATGTTTCCATCCTGTTGGAAGTTTAATTTCACCAACGAAGCAGTCTGAAAAAATAATTATATTAAATGGCTAATATAGTATTATTTCAATAAGAATAATTCTTTAGTATTTCTTAAATCATTTACACTTCCAAGATCCAATTTATCTACATAGCCCATGTAATCTATGCGTTTCAAAGATTCTTGGTTTTCGAAATAAATCCAATCTTGCACACCAATAATGGCTGTGCCATATTTTTCAGACGCAAACACACGCTCGAATCCACATGTACTTCCGTTGAATACAGTAAACCAAATTCGACGAAGTACGTCTTTTCTTTCGAAATCATCCGGAGCGATAAATCCACGATCAGCTAGCCATTCCATAGCTCTTGACATCTCGTTTGTATTTAGGAAGATGTCGAGCAAAAGATTCTCTTGTTTCCTTATTTCCAAACTGCGATTCAATTTTTTACGAGAATCATACTCGTAGCTATCGTATAGAGTTCGTATTACAGAAATTGATGGATACTCTAATAATTCTGGGTCTACTTCGAATAATCTAAAAAAAGAGATTGATAAGCGAGAACAATCACTCAAATTATTTAAAAGTCGACAATGATTAGATACACACGGCTCTTCGGCTTCATCCGTTATGTTAGTTGACATAACTCGAGTCTGTAAATTCATTTTTATGTAGTTGTTCATGTTGCGCGAATTTTTTGCGAACAGCTCTTCTGATATTCTAAAAAGTTCATCGTCCGAGATCGTATAATCAAATGATTTGTTTATATTAGCAGGATTATTAGATCCACTTGAAGAAGTAATTACATTCTCATTTGTGCCTGATCCAAAGACGTGTCTTGTAGTTGAACTTGGAATGTCTGGTATGTTTGGACTCGCACTTCCTAATGAGGGGATATTATTTCCTCCTACATTTGAAGTAATTGCTCCATTTGGAAAATTAGGGAGTCCAGTTGGAGAGGTAGGAAATTCAGTTCCTTGTGGTACGTTTGTGGAATTCATTTTGTTATAGCCGTCAGATACAGTATTAAAATATTGATTGTTGTAAGTAACATGAGTTGTAGGAGTTGGTGGGGCAGAGTCAGCAGGCTTTGTTTCTACATAATGAGTATGAGGATTTATTAATCTATTTACTCCCGCATTAATTGTTGAAAAGACAAGCGCCTCTTTAACCATTTGGCCAAAACCTCGACCAGAATCTTGTTGTCCAGGCATCATTAGAATAGTTTGGCCAGGTACAAATGGCTGTACTGCAGGTTGTGCAAGTACATGTGTTTGCTGTGGATAATTAGAAGGAGAGTGTCCAGGTACATTAAAAGCAGGTCCAGAAGGATGTATAGAGTAAGGATTCCCTAATGGCATTGAATTTGTTGGGTGAAATGAAGAGGGATGTGTAGAATAAGGATTCCCTGATGGTATTGGATTTGTTGGGTAATTTGGATGAGAAATAGGATTCGAAGATATATGTATAGGATTAGTAGGATAAGTACCACTAGATGAATGAGTCTGTGGATACTTGAATCCAATTGGAGGTGGTTGAAAGCCTGGTACAGCTGGTAGAGAATTTGGAACAGGCGATTTATTAGCTTCTGGATAAGCTAGAGAATGTTGTTGAGCTGGTACAGTTGGTTTATTGTCTCTTAAATAAGGATTACTCCAGGTCGGATTTGCTTGGCCTATTGTTGCCTGACCTATAATATTAATATTTTCACATATAGTCTACAAACTGGTATATGAGTCAATTTTTTATAATATTTATGCTTTGAGGTAAACCCGCAGAAAATCTCATATTAGGTTCCTGGGGCTCAGATAGGTGATAAGGTAAATTTTGCTTGCTTTCTGTTACAGCTTTTGGTACAATAAGATTAGTTACTATAGAGAACGGATATGATGTTCCAGAAGACATTGTTTGAATTTATTAGAAGACATACATTTTTTTAATTCATATTCTATATTTGATATATAAGATGTTTAGTTTAATTGAAAATGATAGAATATGTCATAACAGATTAAAGTTATCAAAAAGATGGTTTAGCAAAAGTTGTTTAGTTCAAAGGGGACATCATATAAGACAAAGATAACGTAAACACATGAATACCCTCTCGCGTCTTTCCTTGTCTTTCATATGGCAAATTAAAGTTAAAATATCTGATAAACTAATAATTTCTCAACATAAATAGGTTAATAGTGCAAAAAGATAATTTGCACCATATAATGTTTCTCTTTGAACTAAACAACTTTTGCTAAACCATCTTTTTAATAACTTTAATTTTTTATGAGATATTCTGTCATTTTCAGTTAAATGAAACAGTCTGAATATTACTTAATACATAAAATAATACTTACCTGGTCGTGTAGCTCCTCCACCCTCAGCTTTTACGAAATCGGTATTAATATTTTTATTTTGTTGGGTTGGTCCTAAAATTATGATCAATAACTGTATTAACTAAATTATAGTATATAGCATATTTAAATTATATAACATATTAAGTTACCAGCAGAATTTCCTGTGGAATGTGAAGGTTTACTATTAGATACTCCATAGTCATGAACTCCTTGATTAGAATTTGCTCTGTTTGATGTTCTACCATATGGGAATCTATATGATGTTCCAGATAAGGATCCACGTGACGTTCCATGTAATGTTCCACGTGATCTTCCATGTGTTGATCCATGAAATGATCCTTTACCGAAACTTATTTTACTGCCAGACTTATATTTTGCGCTAGTACCATCTATAAAAAGTATATATATAACAGATTAGTAATAAAAATATTGTGTAAAAAAATAATCGGACTATACTTACAGATTACAAAAAACACGCAAATAAATATAAGAAAATACGTCTTGAATTTCATTATTACAGTAAGTACTGTTGTTGCACTAGTAAACTGTTAATAGTAAACTGATATCGTCGATACGTTTGATGGATATATATATATTCTAGATATATTTATCAAACTTCTTTTCCTAGTAAATGCATTACGTCTTGTAATATTATCTACAGGCTTTCCTTAAGATCATACTACATAATAAGGGGTCATTGCTAATGACCTCAGAGAGATATGGACATCTCTGGTAGTGAGAACAACATTTCTTAACAAGTTTTTATTTGATCTCATTAACAACCTCCACCAGAAAATACATATTTTTTATAGAAACATTAAATTATGAAACAAGTTTTGTAAACTCTTTTGTACTTTAAACTTAGTAATGTAACAATATACATAATAAAAAAGTTTTGTGTTAGAAAACAATTCATGTTGATCGTTATATTATATGTAGAGACGACGAACTTTTTCCCCGCCACGAATTGAACAAACTACTCTTTTATTCAGAATTAGAAAAATATGTACAAAACTACAGAGTCTTAGTAATTTATACTGTGTAAAGTTGTAGAGTGTAAGAGTTAAATGGATATGGGTGGAATCGCTTTTACATGGCTCTGCAAGGCAACAGCTATATGCAGCGTGAGAACCAGTGCATTGTCTCTGTTATATAACATATTTTTTCTAAAATATTGAAGTGGTATTAATACAGTCTCTCAAATTTATAGAAATACTGAGATAAAATATTGTCTTTTTATAAAAGATATAGCTTCAATAGCTTCAAAGTATTATCTTAATTGTTTATCCTTCTTTTTTAATATATCTGTCCAAAATTGCTTCACTAGGATAATCTGGAACTGATAATTGTCGAAATGCTTCATCATCCACAAAGCAAATTTCATGACCATCCTAAAAATAATCACAATTGTTACTGTACGTGTATTTTATTTAAAACTATAGTATTTTAAATGTACTTACTGGGTCAGCAAGGATAATAACTCTTACAGAAGCTTTTCCTGGAGTATCTAAAGTGATTAAATCAGTCAATATCTTATGTTTACTATCTTTTATTCTCTTTTGAATTTCTGGTTGTTCTGCATGAGGAACTGAGAATGCTATGCGTCCATAAGCTGCAGCGTGATCAATTTCAGTACCTAATCAAGCAAGATGTGCTTAATCATTACAGCAATCTGTATTATCAAAGTATTACACAACATTATGAGATCATTACCAATATCCTTAAATTCAATCTTTGCCTGATCTTCACTGTATCCTAATAATACGCTGTTTTCAGTTTGATCAAATACTTTCAAGTCTAGAATATCTTTCCAATAAGCAGTAGTTTTTTCAAGGTTTGAACTGGACAAAGTTAATTTTTCTACAGGATCTGTTGGAGAAATAGTCTTTTACTTAGATGTAATCTAAGAAATATATGTATATATTAGAATTAAAATAGTTCTATATTAATACCTTTATCTAGAGGTTGTGGTTCATCAATAACATAATACTTGTAACCACCAGGTGCTTGTAGAACAAACTTCCCATTTTCTTCTTGCACTGGCCATCCACCTGATCGTGCTCTTTGAAGTGCTTCCCTAGACCGGATTGTTATCCCACCAAAATCATTTCCCATTTTGTATTCTTTGATCCCATAATTATAAGTTAACTCTATAACAAAGTGAGTATCTTCTGTTCCATATCCTATCATGGTTTTGCTCCATCTATTCCCATATGGTCTACATAGTAAACGTAAGATATTTCATCATAATAATTCGCACAAGATTACTATATAATATATTATAATTGATGATAATATATTAGACAAAGAGTAAATACAACAAATGTGTACGTGACTAAAGTTAATTGCGTACCCATTGCAAGCTGCTTCACAGCCTTCGGCAAATTCCTCGTGCCGTAACACCTGTAAAAAAAAAACTTGCGTAAATCCAGACATCAATTCGAATTATTAAACTACTAACCTTCATCCCAAGAATGTCTCTGTAAAATCTGCAAGTTATTTTTCTATCTGGTATTTTAAATACAAAATGAAGCGCTCGTCCGGTGACCATTTTTGACAAATCTATTTTTGCAATCGTTACACAAAGAAATACACTTCCAATTCTTTGGCGGATAAGACGGGAGGCGTATACCTACTATACTGATTACGCACACTGATCTCTTCTGAAGAAAAACTGTTGCTTTAATACCTCTGCGGTTCTCTGTAATGACTAATCATTAAGAATTGAATTAACGTTATATATGATTCAAGTATTCATTCTAGGCAATTATTTTTGCTTATATCTTGAACTATACGTATTACTGTTGACGTGTCTTATAAACGATATCTTGTTATCAGTATCTAAAAAATATAAAAATATTTTCATCTATTTGGCTTGTCTATACTGAATTATCTAATAAGAATTTTCGTAACAAAGGTGGCGCTAATAAAAATTTAATACAATTCAGACGGTGATACAAATTCACTATCAACGTCAAATCGATATATGTATGGTAGCCATAACAGTAGCTGACAATATATTAGATAATGTCAAAATACACATACGATCTACGCTACTTATCAAATTGAAAACTATTGATCGTTTCTTTAAAATTAAAACATTATACAGTATTATACATTAGAGAAGACTTATAGATAGATATGGTAGAAAACCTTGCAGCAAAATTATGTTTACTTCTGTCAGAAAAAGCACATTCAGGTAATTGCGACAATATATAATTTTTAATTAATGATGCAACTATTTTATTTATAAGATTTTAGAGAAATTGTGTATAAGACTAAGGTTACGGGTTATAATGTAAATGTTTGTTACATCTAATATCATATATAACACGAAATAAAATGTGTCTGTGAAATGAAAATTTGATTTTTAGCCGAACAATGGAAATTACTGGGTCAAGAGAAGGATGGTTCCTTATTAGTTGGATGGACAGAGGAAACTGTAAAGGACAATGTAAACATATCATATACAGTTGTAGGCCACTACGACCGGATTAATGATAAGCTACAGGTATGTTAATCTATATACAATACTAAGAATACAAGCTTTTTTATATAAAATATATATAGTATAAATAAAATGCAACATGATGCAGGTATTGCACCAATTCACAGAGGTATTAAATATTGTACAAGCAACAATAAATCAAAGTCGTACTGTTTTTGGATATATAATAAAACAAAAAGTTTCTGTAGAGACAAGGGTAAATTCAGAGTCTATAGAAGACAAAGATCAGAGTATACCAATTGAAGTTGAAATGTATGAAGCATTTATTGTTGAATTAAAAGGACAAGAAGTAAATATACACAGTTTGGATACAAAGAAATCTAAACAAGTGAGAATTCAATTTTTATATAAAGAAAAGGAACATGGACAATGGGATAAATTTTTGTTATTAATTCATCAAGAATGTAAGAATTGTGTAATATGTAGATTACACTTATATTTGTTAAGGATTACTAAATTTAATCGTTTAATGGTATAGGTATTATAATATACACTGTAATCTTTGATACGTCTGTATCAGATGTTTATTCAATACAAGAATTAAAATCTGAACCATTAGTTAAAGCATTTATTTGGGCTCAATGGGACATGGTAAATCAGGTTTTATATCATATACACCATAAAAAAATTCCAATAAGTTTAGTTTCTGAAGATGAAGAGGAAAAAGAAAATAAAACAGAAAGAACTAATCCAACACTTAGTGGTCTTCAATTTCATGATGAATTGCCGCATGAAACAGTGGTAAGTAACCAATTGCAGTTTAATAATAATTTCCGCATATTTCAAACAATTTATTTTTTCATCCCCAGCTAAATATACCACTAAATTTACCTCAATTATCAACTTCTTCCAACTGTGGGACATATGAGGATGATGTTATACCTTTAAGGGTTCACGATTGTTCTTTAGATCTTATTGTAGTTTCTGACCCTAAGGGAATGGTCTGTGTTTGCCATCATTACTTATATCGCCCAGTAAAACCACAGCAGCATGTACTTAATTCATTGAATGAATCTAATACAGTGCACTTTGCATATTCTGTAACACTTCTTCATCGCAGCTGTGTGATTCATTGTGTTATACCAGGCATACCATGGTCTCATGCTAAACTTATACGACCGACATTCGCAATATATGAACATCATCACATGATTGTTCTTGTACCAGGTCTATTTACTCATGTTCTCGAAATTGGAACAAATCATGAACCATGTTGCCACATATTATGTGGTCCTTTAATTTCCCTTCCATCTCGTTCTTCTTATTTGGTACCATTGCTTGAGTTAGAAACTAATACCAAAGGAAGCAAAAAAAAATATGATACAGCTTCCCTAGAAGGAAACAGTACATCTCAATTTAACACGAACATATTAACAATAGACTTACCAACACTGGATTTAGTACAATTAACAATCTCATCTGACTTTCTTACTGAAGTATTTCGTAAAGAAAATTCGATAGAAGTACGCTTGGGTATATTGCACTATTTTCTTTGTCATAGAAATGATCTGGATATTATTTCAGAATTAGTATGTGCGATTGCAGAGAAACCTAGATCATTGGAAATTGTACGGTACATGCAAGAAATTCTCATTGGTGGTTCATATGCTTTAGTACAAAAAAATTTATTAGCAGATGCTATACCTTTATTGGCTTTGTTGCCTGTTACGACTATGGAAGAGTACATAAGTTTTGAAATTAAAGTGAACGACTTAAGTATAACATTGAGTCATGAAAAACTATGGAATACATCTGTAATGTTACTATCACCGCAACAAAGGTTGATTCCTTACCGCAGTGACTTGTGGACTCGATTGTGGGATCAACTTAGTAAAAATAACGGAGATAAAACAAGATTTAAGCCGAGTAAAATTGCAGAAAAATTATTAGTTTCTTTAGCATGTTATCAACCTGAAGCATTATCCAGATCCAGTACACCAATGTCTCCAAGTGGAGGGTAACATTTTAAACAAGTCTTTATTTAACCCATTTAATTACATGAATGTTTATGAATAACTTGCACATCTCTTTAAATAAATTTATATTTTAATTTCAGCAATTCTCTTATATTTGTAGTAGCACAATATTTTTGATAAAAATTAATTTGTATTAATGATATTGCAGATTAGTTGTGGCTACAGTGTCGCTTGGAGATTTATCAAGTGGTCGTAGTAATAAACTCATGGACTCAGGTTTGCTATTTAATGAAACAGAAAGTTGTACTGCTTCTAAGCAGGAACATATTGTATCTGTAAATTTACGAGAATTATCCATGTATTTATTAAAACATGGTACCCAGACATCATTAACGCATCCTAAGGGATCGTGTACTCCATTACACGTTCACGCAATGGCAACTAGACATGTGGCTGCGCAATTAGAAACATCGCGGGCTCTTTGTCAAATGTTATGTCGAGCGGCTAGCGTCGATCCACGAATTGAACAAGAGCGCGGTTTTATTCTTGTGTAAGTAAATCATTCGTGAATAATTATGCATATATTGCAACAAAATTTAAATTAAGATATCATTTTAGCGATCAATTAGACGAAATAAGACGATGGTTATTGTTCGTATTATTGGAGCGCTATAGGCGCGCAATAGAAAGTATAGCATTTCCAGCACCACAAGGATTCACATCGTTTTTTACTTATCTTGGATATAGAACCTTAAAATATTCAATGTTTTTACAATATGTACAACGATCAGTATTCGAATTACAAGTCGATGTCAGCAAAATTATTATGGCTGGTATATTCTTTAAATCAAAAATTTATTTTTATTTTAAGGGGGTATTCTAGTCTAGAAATTTGAAAAATCGAAAAATTTTTTTTCATATTTCCAAAGTTTAGACATTCAAGAATATGTCCTTAAAAGGATTTTTCAAAATATCAATTATTTTATGTGTTACAGCCATTTTTGTGACGCGGCATCTGCTCCGGTCTGACCGGAACAAATGAATAGTAGACGGTAGACGTTGTCCGAGTAAACTTGTCTCAAAACTTTAAACGCGTTTTTCTCGAAACTACTTTTTTCAAGTTGGCGTGCACGATACCTCAAGTTCTAATGAACCGATTTATTTGAAGTTTGGTGTGAATGTTCTTTATACATTTCTCTATCGCCTCAACCACGCTCTAATCAAAATTTTTCTCAAACAGCCGCCATTTTGTGAAAAAATATTGTTTTGACTTTTCCAAGGTTCATGCTATAACCCCATCTATACTAATTAAGAATCCGTTATTGCTTCAGATGTCCAGAAGGGTTGAAATCATGCACGCCAGGACACCCTTTTTTTTGGACCTCCCACTTTGCCAGTTAATAACTGTGAATTTTGAGTTTTTTTTAGTTAATTTTTTATGTAATCTTAAAGTATCAATAAACAAATGATAAAAAATGGATAGTAAAAATTTTTTTTTGTTTTGTTTGTACAGAGTTTCAAAAACCGTCCGAAATTCATGCCTCTAGACTAGAATACCTCCTTAATTTTTAATATTTCTATAATTTTTATTTAATATTTCTTACAGATATTAGTGATACAAAAGAAAATGCCATTCGTAAATTAACTTTATTATCTTTATTACCAAGATCACGAGCGAAAAGACTTTTAAATCAATGGTTACATCCTGTTAGCTTTATGTTCAGAGCTCGTGAACACGCTGCAAATATTTTATCTGGTGAGATATGCCAAAACCGAGGTAGAACATTGCAATACAGAAATCATCATAATGGTAAGGATACATAATTAACAAAAACTCAAATATTTCCAGCTATGTTTTTATTAAATAAATTATATACAGGTTTAGCAGCATTTCCTTCAGCAGATCGTTTATCTCCATTAGACACATTTCTTGATCTTCTTACAGCAAAAGGTATGAACCAAATATATTATTAGATCCCACAAATCTTATTTCAATTATAAATTAATTATATTTTACAGCTAGTCTAGCTGAGTTAGATTTTGGCCTGCTTATAGAAGCTACAGTAACATCTACAGAAGATTTTTTATAGGTAAATGTATTCTAATTTCCTAGAATCAGTTATAATAGAAAGTGTAGTGCAAATAGTCATTCGATCGTGCAAAGTGCCATTAATATCTTCCAAAATATTTAGTATTTATGAACATATAATTTTAACCTTATTTTATAAATTCTCGTGTATTTCTTATCGAAAATTCTATACAGGGTAGAGATTTTAAATAGAATAGTCAAATAATACACTTTAAATACTTAGATAATTTAACTAATGCTCATGTTTCTATTTGCATTATGTTATAGTTGGATAAATCAACAATTAATTCTTATGACTATTTTAAAAATATTTTATATTTTAAAATTAATGTTTATTCCACTCAAGTTTATAAACTGGTTACTTTATGATGTTACAATTGCATAAGTGCTGCAAAAACTATATCTTTGTTTTTTGTATACATCATGACCCAGTTTTCTTCCGCAAAACTTTGTCAGCATATTCTACAATCAAAATTAAGAAAAAGAATGGTGTATGAATATAGGCTCTTAAATGCTTTATTAAAAAGTTATGACAAAAATATGAAATGATAACAGACTAATATTTCTATGACACAGCATAAGGACACATTGCCGATATCTGTCTAATATTACACAAATGTTTACACATATTGTAATATTTACTTGCTAAGATCAGTGAGTTGGTTAACCAGTATGGCAAAGGTTAAATCACCACTACCTTCAATGATGGATAAGCCAAGGGGAAATAATTCCTTAGCCCCCAAGATCATTAGGTATCACATCAATAGATCTTTGCTTGTGAGAAATTGTGAAAGAAGAAATTTATTATTAACGTTTATTATAAAGTTTATTATAAACACAAATTAGTATGTGTTAGGAGTTAATGCAAAGAATTTATGACATATTTGCTGTAATTAAACAAAATGATCAAGAAATTGTACTATAGTAAACAATTGTAATAACAGACAACATATTTAAAATGGAATTATAATGTGAACTTGAAAATGAAAGCACTCTCTTGTCATCATTATGTTTACATAACATTTTTTTCTTATTCCTGCCTATAGACTATGCAGATAAAGTTTTGCAGAAAAAATCTGAGCACCCTGTATATTACTAGTTGAATTTTTGTTACTAAGTTACTATAATTTTATATTAATGTGATTAATCAGTTAATCAAAAGCTTGTGTGTGATTTTCTTTTGTAGTTATTGTTACATTAGTTTATCAATATGTGTCACAGTGTGATATACGTATACAAAATGTTCTTGAAGTCATGGTACAATCAGGAAGGAGATGATTCTTTACGTAAAAGTAAGTTGAAAGTATAGATTTTTAGGTCCCGTATCTCACATCCCACTTCCTATATAATGTATCCCACAATAAATAACACTGCTTTTCATACCTAATACCTCATAACCTACATACTACTACATTTCTATCCCATTTTCCACATTATTTAAGTATGTAATCTATATACTATGATATATCCAACATCTATCCAGTATTCCAAGCACAGCTTATTCCTACCCCTAATTCACTTAATTCACATCCCAAGTCACATCACCTGGGTCATCTTCTTTCTGATCGTATCATGATTTTGAAAATACCCTATTTGCATTATTCAACAATTTTTGAATTGTGTAGTGTGAGTTAAGTTACAAAAAGAATCATTTATGAGAAAATTGTAATCTGTGTAAATCTTTTGTGCGTATTGTGAAAAGTATTACAAAACTACATATCAGAAGATATGTACAAACATACAACAGTATTAATAATTTTTATGTAAAAGTGAATATGAATATTTAAAAAATGATTTTGTGTTTCCATATTTACCTATCTTAATATATACTTAATTTTCTCCAGATATTACATTAGAGATAGAAGGTAAACAAATTTCTTATTTTGAATTTATTTCCTATGCTTGCATCAGAGATGAGTAAAGAGATCACCGATACAATGTTTAAAAAGTTAGCTAAAATGCGCACTAAAAATAAGAGATTCTAATGACAAACGTTCGAATTGTACGCATATTTCTTCTCCGATGCTCTTGGCAAGAGAAACGTACGTATATACGAGAGGGGAAATGTTCATTCGTATCGGTGCAGCGTAGAGATAAGCGAAGGCTAGGGAGCTAAAAAACATAAAGCTTTAAAGCTTTTATTAAATATCAGAAATGAATTGCTTTTTTTGGAATTGATTACAGAAAAATCACTTTGGACTTAAACTTATAATAATTGGAAATGATTTAAGGATTGTACATATTGGAAGGATTTTAAATGATTAAACGCTTTGTTCATTTGTAAAATAAGATTGTTTTATTCAAATAAATTTATAAGTTTAATAACTGTACCTTAAATGCTAAAACTTTAAGTGCTCGTAGTACGGAGCAGCAGTTTTATCATTTGTTTTTGAATCGCCTACTTTCGGCCAACTCGGGTATACCCAGGTACGAATCCACATATTCTTTCTTGTCATGCATATAAACGTTTAGAAGAGATATGCGTATAATTCATGTTCAGTCGCTGGATGCGGTAATTCATAGAGCAAACTTTTAGGTGAATTTCATTAGTAAGCCATCGGCCTACTTATCTCTGCTTGCATTAAAAAATTATCTTTTATTTTTATCTTTCACGCTTTTACGAATGGTATTTAGCAGTGTTTACAAATTATCTTAAAAATGTTTTTAATAAAAATCAGCTTATCATATTTTAAGCTTATTCAATAGCCAAATCCAGGCTCCAACAGAAATGACCAATAGTATTTAACAAACATTACCAATGTGTGGCGTTATAATCTTAAATGAAAAGCGGCATGTCCCTGCATTAAAATATTTCCCCCTTTCTCTCCACCTGTAACTACTACTAGCAGAATAACATCGTCAGCGGCCAGCCATTGTCGTGAGATGTGAAGATTTTTTTCGTGAAAGATCAAGATCAAAAATTGGAGAAATTACAAATTGCAGAAATGCATACAATCCCGGAATTGGGTACCAGTGTACCAGCGTTCCTTGCCAAACTTTGGAAGTTGGTCGAAGATTCTGATACTGACGACCTTATTTGTTGGTCACCTGTAAGTACTTTTATTTTGTTATTCGTTTATAATCCTTTAATTTTTATATGCAGCAGATGTATGAAATTCTAACGCATCGGTCGATACGTTTTTTCACGGCGACTATTATTCGTAATGATAACGTCGCGCGACCGATCAAATTAAACGTAAGTTAAACGTTGACCTCCGCAGTGTACATTTTTACGTACACAACCTATATTTCGCATGCACTCAACATCGCTGTAATTTATTCGGTGCTTATTCGGTCGATTATGTATATTACATTATTTCAATAAACATACATTTTTTTTTATCGAACGTCGAGGGCTCTCTTTCACGAACGATTCGTATAAATTTTGAATGGCAGCGCATTCATGGATTAACAAAATATACCAACCGCAAAGTAATATTTAAACAAACGTTAACTAAACGATACTTGTAATTGTTTCTTTAACATTGACACATGTGTGTAAGTTCGTTAACAGGAATGATTTTTGTTAAGGAAATGTGTAGTCAATGTTAATTTTATACATATTTTGAATATTTTATTTATGTATTATTATTACAATAAAAAATACATTATTTTCGTGAAAATTGTACTAGATACCAAAAACATACTTTAAGTTCTCATTGTTTAGAGATTAAATAAGATATTCTATACAAATATCAATAAATAGCCTTTTAAGAGATTAATGTGGCAACGATATTAACATTTAGCATTTATAAAAATTAATTAATTATTTGTTAAATGTACTGCATCTTGTATAGTCCAATTACAATATGTTTCTTATAAAAAGAATGTAAAAAGTATAGGATTATATTTATGATGTATATTGATGACAAATTCCATTAAAGAAAGGAAAAGATTTCATTTAATTTTGTTCAAATGATTGTTTTTCATTACATAATTTTATCAGTTAGATCATTTATTTTCTGTGATTTACATAATCTTTATAAAAATATTATTTTACTTTGATATCTATATATTGACATATATGCAGAATAGTATATGTATTATATAATTATCTTAATATTTATATTCATAGAACTTGTTATCTAACACAATATGCCTTTACCATAGAGAAAATTATATTAGAAGTTACTTAGGAGAAAAGAGATTATTGTATACACTTATTTATTTTAGAATGGAAGGAGTTTTTTCATTAGAAATCAGGCACAATTTGCCAGAGAATTATTGCCACATTACTACAAACACAATAACATGGCCAGTTTTATCAGGCAGTTGAATATGTGTAAGTGATAACATATAGAACTATAACATTAAAATGTATATGTAGATATATTCATAGTTAGTGTGTATACAGATGGTTTTCACAAGAAAGTTTCTGTAGAATTTGGTGGTTTAAAATGTGATAAGGATGAAATGGAATTCGCACATCAATTCTTCTGTAAAGGTCATCCATATCTTGTAGAACATATTAAAAGAAAAGTAAGTGCTTTCATATTTTATATAAACTTTTCATAAATTTTACTTTTATACTTGTACAAGCATTCGGTGATAATTTTCTAGATTGCCTCTAATAAAGGACAAGATCCAGCACTTACTCCTATTAAACCAGAACTAATGAATAAAATGCTTACTGAAGTAAGAAGCATGAGAGGTCGTCAAGAACATTTAGATTCAAGACTTGGAGCCATGAAAAGAGAAAATGAAGCACTGTGGCGAGAACTAGCAATGCTTAGACAGAAGCACCTTAAACAACAGCAAATTGTTAATAAACTTATACACTTTTTAGTTACATTGGTACAGCCTTCCAGAAGTGGTGGTCTCTCTGTTAAAAGAAGATATCCACTAATGATCGACGACTCTAACCGTCAACGTAACAAACAGGCGAAATTATCAAAGGTAACTCTATAGAATTCATAGGATTTTTATAGTTTATTTCTTTAATATAATATATATCTTTATTTTCAGTCACAAACATCACCAGCGGGTCCTGTAATTCACGAACTTGATTCATCAGAACCGGATCTAGATTCGGAATATATTGTTGCAGAGTATGTGATTTGTTGTATCATAAATGTATTTTTTTTTTTTATTATGTGTAATAATCGTTGTCCGTTTCATTCAGAATGTTGGAAGGACATCCAAACCCAGCTATTGAAAGTCCAGAGCATAATAACACTTCAATAATGGAAGACAATAATATGGAAACAATTCATTTAGTTGATGATCCTCTTCACTTACCAGATGATATACAACTTATTAATTCTCAAGAAACTGAAACAAAGAAAAAACGTGGATGTAAGGGTAAGAAGAAGTAAGTTAAATAAAATTTTTACTATAGTAATCTAATTATAGATTTGATCACCGATATAAATGACGTGTACACAATCTTTCACATCATGTACAATCTTTCAATTTTGGAATTATAAGATGGAGTTTTGCATAATAAATGCAAAGAAATGTTAATGTTTGTAACTCTGTGAAAAAATATTTTTATATTTTCATTTTGCTCGTCTTTTTACTGATATTAGGAAAGTGATAAAAAAAGATAAGTTATAAGATACTCCTTTACAACACACATTCCAATTATTTCCCATGCATGGAATGTATGAAATAATTAACTTAATGAAATTAAAATTTATACTCTACTTCAATGAAACACACAGGGGCATAAATTTTGATCTTTTAAATCGTATCATGCTATAGTAGCTTTATTCATTTTATATTTTGCACTAAAAATAAATTGCACGTGGTATATCGCAACTTGATTATGCCTACTCAGGACACGATCAACGAAGTTTATGTGTAAACGACTTTTTTGTCATACTTCATAAGATAATTCATTTTCAATTATTACTCATATCATTGCAATTTAAATATTGCCAGGAGGAAAAACAAGGTGCCGGTCAAAATTTTGATCCCATCGACGGAGGATGGAGAGGAACCAAGGTTAACACTTTTCTCTTGTCGTCATTTGGTGCTGGTGTTTGTACTTCTAGAACTTATTTTTGTATAATATCGCAATTTTGCTTAGTTTCATTTTTCTGCATGAACGTTCAGCAAAATTGCGATAACATTCTTCTTTGAAAGCATTCCTCATTTGAACAGTTGATTTTAAGATGATCTCTTAGTCTGCAAGTCTTTCAACTATCAGTAGTTGCTTTTTTCCCTGAATTTTACATTAATTGTAATTTCAACATATTAAAGCATTCAAAGAAAGTTAAAGTTTCGAAAATATTGTTTCAGTAGTTAGTTACTTTTATGGGAGAAGTCTCGTTAATCCTTGGTTGAATTGCTTCTATTTAATTTCATTGTTTATTATACAATTCTTCATTAGCCACTTCATTTCATATTAATGTCATTATTTATTTATCTATATTTTAGTTATGCCTCTGAGTACAATTGTTGATATATTAATTCTCATTATAGTTTATTTGATAATAAATCTTGGTCTATGTTGTGGTATTAAATATGTCATGAAGTTCTTCTATTTTTGTCATCAATTTAGATAGTGTGTGTGTGCATGAAAGATTACTTCTTATTAATATTACTTAATATTAAAATTTATTCCATGCATGAATATGTTCCTTTAAAATTTATTTATGTACGTAATTATTTATTTAAACTTCTATTATGTATAATAAATACAATAATTCTATATGATATTCAAATCATAAAATTTTTCAATATAATAAACATTTATATGTAGAAAGAATCAAGCTGAATTGACCATTAAATATTTACCTTTAAATAATAAAAATAGTTTATATACACAGTGAAATATAGAAGAATGAGTACATCCATAGTATTTTTCCAAGTTTATTATACCATAAAAGTTAAATAGTATTTGCTTTTCTTAAAAGATGATAATTGCTCTTTAACTTTCTTGTTCATATATATTTCACATATACGCACTATAATACTGTAATACTATGTTTTCCTCTTCATTATGCAGTTTTCTTCTACAAAAATCTACATTACTATGTACTACAACCTGACTAATTCATTGTATATTTAGGAGCATGTTCTTATATAATGCTTTAAATTCATCTCTGTATGCTCTTGCAATACTTCCATCAATCCGAATTGTAGTCAAGAATGTGTTTAAAAGCAGATTATGGCACAGCAACGATTTTAAAAACTCAAGAAAACGAAGATTGGCAACTGCTTTTCTCACTTTTTTAGGGAAGAAACACATTTGCTTGAGATACCATTAGACGCTGAACCGGTGATCGCTTTACTGAAAGATAAACCAGCCTCAAAGGCAGTGCCTCTGTCAACTATGCGTAGTCCAAAGCTCGCAGCAATGGCAGCTAATATGAACAAAGTCACTAATGTAAAGTCTGAGCTCGATTTGGGTACTTCAACAGATATAGAGGAAGATGTTCAGGAGAATAATCCAACCCTGGTAAAACTCGAAGATATTTTAATAGTACCAGAAATAATCAACGAGGATGTTGAAACCGAAAATGTCGAGTTTAGTGAAAACAATACCAATTCTGAAAGCAATGAAACCAATGCCACTTTCAATCAACTTGACAAAGTAGATGATAACGTTGAACAGAATAACGAAAAAAATTCTTATACAAATGGTGCTCAGAAATGTTTGGAGCAGGGCAAAGACAACTGCAATGGAGCAGGGACAAGCAATTCAAAAGATTTGTCATTGAGTTGCATCATTCCCTCGGGCATGTCTGATGCTGCTTACAGGTTAGGATCAATGTAAGTTCAACACAGACCATAAGTAAGAAATGCTAAATGCAGCACTTTCCACTTACCTATAGTGGAAATTTTTAGTCAGAAGACAGAGGTGGGAGACAACCAATTTATTTCTATTTATATTACAATTTGGAAGTTTTGGAGTAATAACACTTCACTAATAATGTGTAATTTCACATTCCATAGAACCAGAAGAATAAAGGGCTCCTTGATATAATTTTTTAAATATTTTCCAAATTATTAAAAATTTTCTTTGTTATTAATTCTAGTCAGAAGTATTCAGCTTCTCTTGATTTTAATATAGAATTTTATTTTAAATAAAAGAAATTTTATCAATATGGATTTAGGTGTAAAACAAAATTTCCATTGATTGAATCGTATAATTTATTTTGTTCAAAATAATTTTCCTTTTTACTCAGTAAAGTTGTAAGATAAATTTTTAAAATGTGCTACATAAGAAACTATACTTACCTCATATATATTTATAATATATATTGATAATCATATATATTTGGTAATTGTGGTGTTGTGATTATTAGATATCTCTGCTTAAGTAGTTTATCATGTAATTTAATTATTGTTCTATTAGTGCTGCATTTCATTCCCTGGTTTTCAAAGGTCAATTTAGTTTGAATATATCTTGATATAGAATAATACATCGTCCCAAACTTTTATGCAAAATATTTTAAAGACCATGCACTACAACATTATCAATGTTTTACAGAATACTAAAACACTAATCAATTTCTGTTTTTGTGAATTTCTTAATTACTTGATTGCACAAGCAATAATTGTAAAACAATGACTATTTTATTTGGAACAATTATTATTCTATTCTATTGCTGCATTCATAAGTTAAAGAAATGAAACAAAAATTTGGCTAAACAAAGAAAACAAATATTGATTTGCTTGTGAAGTCATTGAAACAAATAGAAAGATTGTACGTTTCAGGATGAATATTGAAAGGATTTACAACGTTTTCCTTTTTGATCCATCAAATGTGGCTAAGTTTGTGTGGATAAGTTTCGGTACTTTTATACATTTTCATCTACTTTGAATAATTCTCTATAGGGAGGAAATGGATAATCACCTCGAAACAATGCAAACAGAATTGGACAATCTCCGCGATATTCTACGATGCGAGGGTTATAGTATCGATGCAAATACGCTTCTTGGTGTAAGTATTCAAATAATATCTGAAAAGTTTATCCTTTATTAATTAATGTACATTTACAGTTATTTGGAGCAGATGATCCAATGTCATTTGGTATGCCAGTTAATCCAGAGTTGAACCCACAATCTGAAAAAGAAGAGGAAAATCATGCTAATGGTAAAATTTCTAACTGCACAATTACTAATATATAATTTGAATACATAACTAAACTAACTTGTACCTTTTAATTTGCTTACAGTTGCAGAAAATAATAATGGAACTGGTGGTGGTGAACTTATGGCATATAATCCTGCTCAAAACTTCTTAGATTTCGACGATGACATTTTCTTGGAGGCCACATCTCCTCCAACTAGCACAGCAGGTGGCGATACAGCTATAATCAATCTTTATAGCTCGGATTCTCTCGATTTGGAGGATAGCAAATTTTCATTTCTGAATTCCTTAACAAATGATGTGAACACTTCATCATAAAGTCTCATTCCTATGGTAAGTTCCATAATTTCTCATTACATTTAATAAGCGATCATTTCATTCAAAGAAAAAAAAAGAAACATTTTTATTGCTGTATAACAGAAAATAATTGTTCATAAATTAATAATACACAAAATTTTGTTGTATATTGAATCTAAATTATATTGAAAGAAAAGATTTATGTATATATGTTTATCGAGTAGTTGGTCACTAAACGCATCTTCGTTGAAACAAATTCCGAATTTCCCCGTCGAGATTGTCCTTCTCCGAGGTTCAACCTCTTTTTCAAAATGAAATTGTCTTAGGATAGATTTTTTTGCAGGTTCAGATCTGTTGCGTCCAATGCTTTGGTTTCAGTATGTTTTATTCTCGATGGATCATCACGAGCATGCTCTCTCTCTCTTTCTCTCTCTGTCGCTCTCGGTGTATTTTGATGACCAAATAAGCAACGAGCTTGTAATGTACTGACAATAGTACCTGAGGAAAATGCGGTCAATCAAATGATCCCATCGGTTTATGGAGGACAATAAATAAGTGAAAACAGCAGGAGCGCATAAAATCCTCTGGATTTGCTGCTATATATGCATACAAAGCAATTAAAAAATTTGATTATTTCGTTAATTTTTTTATGAGTTAACGTTAATGTTGTGCCGTACTTTATTTATAGTATATATTATTACAATATAAAACAAAAATCAAACAAGGAAATTGTTCATTTGCCGATATACTTTATATCTGTGTAAATACTTTTCCTTTTTTTCATGTATATAATTCGATCAAAAATAATTTGTTTATTTTAAAGACACGGAAGCACGTTATAGTGACTAACGTTTCTTATCGATCGTACAATGCAAACTTGAAGTTCCTGCATATCTTATATTAAAGAATTATCGTAATACCATATATTTATTGCGTAATCTTTTTTAAACAATTCGAACAGAAATTGCAGAAATACAATAAGACAATCAAATATTGTTAAAGGCATCACTTAGGTTTCTGTGTACTTTTGTCATCTGTAATTTCTAATGATCATATTATTTATGAGGATTTGAATTGTCTTGCTTGAATTCCATCCACGTAAATAATAAAAGAAAGAAGTATATACGAAATTCGTATTTTTTGTACTAAATTCTTCTTAAAAAGAAGAATAATCGTATATAATACACATTGAATCTAAAAAATAATTACATTGAAATGTTCAGTGTTCTTGTAGATCAAGGTGTATTGTACAGAAAGAAAAAGAAAACGCCAGAAGCGAAAGAATTTTATATTTTTATAATACAAAGAATCTGTGCGTTTAACGTTTTTTTGAAGATGATAATTAGTATTTATTTATAAACATCGACTCATTGTACACAAAACAATTCTTCTTTCTACGTTTGTGTAAATATACACTTAGATTCTGACAACCTTGTAACTCATAAAATAACTTATAAAAGAATTCGTTACGTAAAAGTACAATCATTTTATTGTTACAATATTCTATAGAAAAAACTAATAAAGAATATCTTCATTTGAAATGAAATGGTCAGCAAATGTGTACTTACTATAATATACAATACAGTATAGCACACTTTATTTTCTATATTAGAAAATACATACTTGAAGCAATTTGTTTTTTGTACAGACTCATAAATATTGAATATGATTATAATACATTTCTTTGTTTTAACAAATACATGGATGAAATTGATTATAATTGACTTGTTTATACAAATATATAAAACAAATACTTCTAAAATAAATATGTGAATGTCTTTTAATTCATTTTTGCATCTCTATTAACCTGAATTCTATAGTGATTGTATATATATGCTGATAAATATAAGTTTCTTACTTCCTAACTGTCTGTTTGATCTACAAGTTACTATTAAAAAATTACTACTGATTGTCAAAAAGTACGAATATATATATATATTTTTTTTTTTTTTTTGAAAGAAGAATAAAATATTTATATTAAATGCGTCATAGAAACTACATGAATATTTTAGTTTAATATTCAGTAAATTTGGTGAAAAATGTTGTTTGTCTTTAAAATGAAAACATGTATTAATTATATACAATTCCTTTTGTTTTTTTTATACTAACAAAATTAGTTCCATGTGTTTGCAGCTAATTATTCTACAGCAATTGGACACTTCATTATTTTATTTATTTAGCTTAACAAAAAAAAAATATTCTTTATCAGGCTAAAATTAACCGAAAGCAAAGTACAAATTATCTATACTTCTTAAAAAACGAATAGGAATAATCTATGGATGGATCGTTGATATTTCAGTTACACTTAAAATAAAGGTATTGCCTGATATTGTTCAGTTCACCAATATTTCAATAACTTATTTTTATATATACATAAAGAAATTGTGTATTAGCAGTATTTAATTTTGAGACCTTTGTCCTTCCAAGCATGCTGAAGAATATTTTTAATTAAAAGAATGAAAAAAATTCAGATATGAAAACAAAACTGAAGAACATTTAACTATAATGCGCGAATTAAGACTGCTACTAGCATCTATAGACTTCTGTTTTCCTTATTCACAAATATATATAATTGTTTTTTTATTTTAGCTTTGGAAGAAAGACTGCTGGATTTTTAATCACCTTATTGGTAATGTCTTCGTTTTAATTAGTGAATATGATGCTACGGTAAACCCTGTAACAAGTTTAGTATGAAGGGGATGATGTAAAGAATTGAAGAGGTACACACAGTGGTTCATGCTTAAAATTCCTTGAAGAAGGAAATAAAAAATCAAACGATATAAATCTATAAATCGGAAGAAACAATTTATCTTCGTGTTGATGAGGATAGGTACTAAACAAATAAAAACGTATTCTACGAACTATCATTGAAAGAATATATAGCGTAAAAAAAGCAAAAGCAAATATGCGCGTATCGTGTATGTATCGACAAAGGGCTGTAATTTCCAGTTTCACCGACTTGTACATAATTATGCAGAATTCTGCATTGATAAAAAATATAGAATGTTTCCTAAAAATGTCCATTACCTGAAAAATAACAATTTTTTTACATGTGTATGTAATGCACAGTATTAGATTATAAATGAATTAATTCTATGTTGAGCGGCATATATGCTAAAAGGTGCACAGATGTATATATATACAAATCTATACATATATATATGCAGAAAGTGAGCATGTTAAAGGTATAAAATTTGTTTAATAATGTCAGTCTATTTTTTCGTAAACGTCTTTTTATTGTGGTATAAGGTTTAAACAAACCTAAAATGTTGAAACAAAGTTTAAACAAAGTTAAAGGTGATAGTACAACCTAAGATTTCAGTGTCTAGTTCCACTATCACTCCCGTTGTTGTGTAAAAGATTTTTCTTTACTTTTAATCAACACTTTTTCATATATTTAATCTTCTAGATTTCCTTTTTTCAATCCTGCCTTTTAATTTTATTTTTCTAATTTTTGTTTTGAGTGTGTTAAAGGCTATGTGAAAGTAATACTATTGATAAGAATATCTAATTAATTTTGTAAATGAATTTGATCATAGAGCATGAATAAGTAAGTAGGGTGTTAAGTAATTATTTAGAATATTTATGGAATCAAGATACTTAACTAAATAATTAATCCATATTTTTGTTGTATAAATCAAAAACATTTTTTTTATTTTCATTGTGAAATAAAAATTATGTTCATTCACACGTACAATTACTTGTATGCAGTAGATAGTTCAAACCAATAAATGTCTTTCACCAAACACTGAAATCTTAATGTTGAATCTTTACAAAATAGATTGAGTTTGTGTATATCAGAAAATAATATAAACAGAATAGTACACTGTAATCTTTGTTAGATTAACATGTTATTTTAATTTAGTAATAAGTAGATTTTTTTATATTCATTTGTGAAGAAAAACACCATATATTACAAATTCATAAAAAACTTAACATATGTTATATAATTCCATATACAGTGAAGTGTCAACCATACATTTATATAGTTTACTTTTCTTTACATATTACAATATTTCAACCTTACAAATATTTCAACACACTTCATAATTTCTTAGATTTAACTCATTTAAATTACTTATCTATGTGTTAACATTACTTTTATTATGTAATTATTAAGCGTCTGTTAATTAATTTACAATGCAATATGTGAACAACTTAAAAAACCTTTTTGTTCAAAATATTTATTAAAGAAAATTGTTATTGATCTTCTATGGGCTAACTGTTAATTTTTTTTTCTATTAATCTAATAGAAAGTCATTAGTTTCAAACGATTAACTCAAATTATATCAATTTGTTTTATCATTTGATTATTAAGTGTATGTACACTTTAAAGAATATTTAACCAAACGATTATTCACTTACTCATGGAAGATCAAACTACAAGAGTGTAACAAAATCAAAATAATGTATCATGTACAAAAGTATAGTTGATACTACACACTTGTAGATATCCAATTTTGTGATACATTAAAGTTTTGTACAAAAAGGTAGGGCTGATTAAAAACAGGTGACAATTCCTCCTTTCCCGGTTATAAATTGCATGTTTTGCTATTAATTATAAAAATACCAGTTACAATAGAATTAAAGGATAAATTAAAATGTATCTAAACGTCTGGAGGAAATCATTGAGAAACAAACTTGTAATTTTTATTTACCGACATCTATCTTCTAAATTCAATATCTATACTCTTATTTTTACTATATCACAAAAGGAAATTGACTTTATTCTGCTGTTTATAACTAACGTTATCACATGATAAATATATATATTTAAAAAAGCAGCGATCGATTAAAAACATTATATCTTTGAAAACCACAATTTTAATCGAAATTACTTTATTCGACACAGACAAGCTTTTAACTATCATTAAAAATAATGTTAAATTTGTTTGTTTCTAAATAAAATTTAGATCATTGTTTACATAATCTTATTATATATCCTAATTCGAACGATCTATCCTTATATAAAAATTTTATACTATTTAAAAGTACTCGAAAATCTCCGGTGCGTTAACGAAATATATATTGCAATATGTTCAAATAATAATATGCTGAGCAATTTGCTGAAAGGAGTAACTTGAATAATATTATTTTTATATAACGATAACGATATAATCTAGACTATAAGTTTTTGAGGAGCAAATCTTACATTATGTGCGAAAACCGATTGTATTTATATTTTATAGATTTTTTTAATGGTAGATTTATAGATTTTTTTTTTAATATTTTCACAAAAATATTTCAATTTAAATTTCAGTATAGAAATTATTAACATTGTTTTTATACTATATGTATGAAGTTATTTTATGTACAAAGATTTGTTTAAAAATACTTTCACCATTTCAATTGCAGCTATTATCTACTTATTAGTTATTGTCTAAAAAAAGAATCTGTATTAAATTTCTCGATTTAATATATAAAAATTCCTAAATTTTGAAGTTATTTTAATTTCGGATAGCTGAGCTATGAATATCGGAAAAAGTGATGAATCCTTAAAACGCGTATAAAATGTTATACATAATTATTATTTTTATCATTTTTGTAATACTTGCTGTAATACTAATTAAATTGTACCATAAAGCAGAATAAAATTCGTTATAAAATCGTAAATTAACCTGTGATACTTCAAATAATAACATCATTTATTTAAGAATTAATGAAAAATTATGTTCTTTAAGTTATATTTTAGCCGATTTATTTCATAAATATGCATATTTACTTAAATTAGATTTTATATTAAATGATGAATATGCCGAATATATCCAAATTATTCGATTTTTAGACTGTATACATCCCCCTAAAAAAGCTTTAAAATCGTTATCAGATATTTGACATAATATATACTAAAATTCCTTCATATTATTATATGTACAGAATTAAAAATTTCTACGCAAATACTTGAAAATATTAAAAAATTTACATACGTATAATGTCAAACATAAGCATAATCTTTATGCAAATGTTCAAATAAAAAATATAATCTATTAATTTTTCTTTCTATCACATAATATATTTATAGTCAGTTTTTAAAATAATACTTCAGTTTTCCCTTACCCTGTCCTTAAAATGCGAAAGAAGGTATTGATACCGTCTCTATGGCAAAGACGATAATGATGGTAAAGGCAGAGGGGGTGGTGGTAATATTTCATTTTCTCCTGAAGCAACATCTGCATGCTCATGGCAATCGACATATAAATGTGTCAAGCTTTCAAGACCTGCCACTGACATCCCCCGGCAATAACGTGTATCTAGGTAATGTAGACTTTTGCAATACAATTTAATAGAGTCGAGAGTGCGATCCGTGAGTTGTGAACATCTCTATAAAAAAAAGACACCAGTGTAAGCTTTAAAAATAGAGAAGTTAATTTTTAATTATAAAAATACCTGTATGAGAAGTCGTTTTAATCTGTGCAATCTCTGAACAAGATATGATATACCAATATCTGATATATTGTAACAGCGGTTTAGATTTAAGTATTCAATTGCCGGATTATTTTTTGATAAATAATCCAATCCAATGTCTGTAATCTGTAACAAAAGGTATGATTTATTATAAATATAAATATTTTTAATATACTATTTGATTGATTTACACCCACTTGTTGACACTGGCTTAAATTTAAGATTTTTAATTCTGGAAAAGCGAATGCATGTTTTAAACTGACATCAGTAATCCTGTTGCACCCAGAAAGATCGAGTTCTTGAAGGCATTTAAGCCTGATCAAAGAGTATCCGGAAAACGAATTTAAAGGTTTAGATACGTTTTCGCAAAGCTTCATGATTTCTCGTTTTCGATCTGCATCGCGTACTATCTCTTCTTCGGCCTTTGACCGTAAACTGATTCTTAATCTGGATTCTGTAAATTCTGGATTATGTGCAACTTGTATTTTTTCAACATATTTGTAGTTACCAATACCCATACCCGTTAAGCCAGCATCACTGACCTCATCGCAATGGCTTATATTTAATGTTTGCAAATGTACAAGCTCCTTGAATATCATCTATAAAAGATAAACTTACTTTTATATGCATGAGCATCATCGCTGGTACAAAAATTTATGATTTACAGAAACTCTCTTAAGTTTTAGTAATTCCTGAAAATTCAGGAAAATAATCAGCATAAAATCTATCAGAGATTATTATTTGTTTTTTTTTCTTATGAATAATACCCTTTTCATAAATCTCCTATAATATTAAATTACAAAATAACAGTAATGAATTGATCTATACATACCTGTATTGTTTTATCGGTAACGCCACTAAAACAATAGCTAAGTTCAAGTTGTCTTAAATTAGGAAAAAATTTGGATATGCATTCAACTGATTCTTCATGAATACGTAGTGCATTTGCTGACAGTATTCGCATATTCTCTTTTCTCATCCTTTTTTCTGTTCTTCTCTGAACATAATTCTTTTCTGGAGGAGCAAAATTGATATTTCCATCAATATTTTGATCCATATTTTCGTCATCTATTATATTACAACCAGAGCAAAGTCCACGAGTAATAGAATCATCGGTAAGTTGTTCGTCTTCCGAGATATTGAGTTCTTTTAAATGTTGTAATAACTGAATATACTTTATACCAATATCGGTTACTTCACGGCATCGTCTTATTCTAAGTGTTTCTAACTTCGTCAAATTTTCACAAATACAGAGTAAACTGTCATCTGCGATACGCACGCTAAAGCTAATATCGAGGACTTTTAAACAAGTCTGATGCTGTGTCATTCCTCTAATGCTTTCAATAGATAAATGATCACATCCTTGTAATATTAGAGACTCTAATCTAAGATTTTGTAGACCTGATAATATAGTTAAAGCAGATGGATCAATCAAAGTATAGCTAAAATTCAAATGCTTCAGTTTATAAGCTTGTCGTCCAAAATAGTCTAATGCATTTATAAAAGTCAGCGTTGATTTTGAAGGATATGGTAAGCCGTAAAAATCAGGATAAAATTTTCTATTCAATCCATAATGAAAGGTCATCTGACATCCCATAAGGCTTAAAGATTCCAAATTTGGACAAATGGCAACTAATCTATTAAAAAGTGCATCACTTAAGAAACGGTTATATCCAAGGCTAAGTTCATAGACATTTTTAAATGTTTCTGAGAGTTCCTTTATGTCATTCTCATCTTCTAAAAGTCTACCAGACATTAGAGACTCCCTGCAATCATTAATATGCAATATTCTCAAAGACTTGCAGCATTTAAAAATTTCTACCAATGTTTTTTCACTTAGATCACAGCACAACTGAAAATTAAAATATGGTATTAGGAAAATATATTCTCATTTCACGAATGTAATACTTAATAATAAGTTAAAATAATTTTACCAGTACTAGACTTTTCATATGAGGTCCATATTGATCCCAAATTGCCATATTCCTCTTTAATTCTACTTTTCTAAAAACAAAGTTGTAAAATGGTCTCGTAGAATGCTGTAAAAGCTCTATCACTTCATTTAAATTGTCTGCACGTGGTCGACCAAGTACCAATTCTACTTCATCTAAAAACTTCATAGCAAGAGATGCTTCATGCCATGTTCGATTAACTAATCCTGCTGCCATCCTATCAGATGTAGACAAGTATGATAATATGTGTATAATCGCCTAAAATTAAAATGAATCTACTTAATAAATTTAATTAGATCAAGCAAAAGACATGAAGTTCAAAAAATAAAAGATGTCTTATCATATTATATATTTATTATGTCTTAATTGAAGTATAACAAATATAGAAAGCAAGTACACAAATATAAAAGTATTTAAATAAAGTGAATCTTTTACATAAACTATTAGTAAAATTTTTACAAAATAAACGTTTTTATTTAGGTTATCATAAATCTTTTATTTTGTACAGTCACTATGTAAAGAGGAAAAAGTAAATGACGTAACGTTTAAATGAAAAATTATGTTTCCCAAATAACAGCTTCGAATGCGGAAGATAATAAGAAACTTACATCTATAGGCAATTGTAAATTATCCGTTTCTGACATGTTATTCATATGATTTTTGCTGTCAGACATTATCGCCATAACAAAAACTATTAATAAGATAACGTGTCGAAGTATCTCGTTTCAACGAATGCTACATCTATCCGGAAATCTGGATTTTAACACTTAGCCAACCGAGTGCACCACAGCGAGCTACACGTTTCTACCGCGCTCGAACAAGCCAACCTATACGCTGTCCATCGCGCATTTTTCCAAGTATCGAGGACTAATATTCACTACTTAAAAACAAAGAAATCTAAAAATTATTTAAGTAGCTAACTATATTTTGCGGTAATAATTTTATTTAACGATTTCATATACTGTTTATACAAAACATCAAATTAAAAGTATATATTAAAAGTATAAAAAAATGTAGGTAAAATTAAAAACATTAAAGATGACTATAGATAAATAACACGACTTGAACGTGAAATTAAAAATTCATAATGCATTTTAATATTTTTTTATAGTGTGGTATCATTCGATTATAACTTTATTTAGTCATAACTGATAGTGTAACTTTTTAATTAATTTTAACACCATTAAATTGGTATATTTTATTATACACTGTACTTTATAAAAACAGAAAAAGTGGTGCAATTAATTGGGAACAATTCCAGGTAAACAATAACTAATAATAACAACAACAAAAAAGAAAACGCATTGCTAAAATCAAAAAGGGAGAACACAGCAATGTTCTTCACAGAGAGGAGATCTTCCCGTTCGGTTGGCTGTGTTAATTTGCCGTTTTATGTTAAATATATCGTGTAACAATCAAATCATTTCTCAAGTGTGTTACAGCTGTTTCGACGATAGTCACGTGCTTTTCTAAAATCACGCAATAGATATAACAGTCCTAATTTGTCATGTAATACATAATACTTATTATAAAACCAGCTAGACACTCTTCATCTTTAATTTTGCTTTGATAGCATTGTTATACAATTTTGCGTTCAGTCAATCGAATCTAGATATTATACAAGTAAACTACATTTTTCTATCTATATATTCATTCTGATATTTCTGTAATATAATATTTAATAAAGATAGATAAGTATTTTTAGATTAAAATATTCACTAATTTCTTTTGATCAATAAAAAGTTTGTAGTTGCATAACGTATGTAGAAATCATTTCGTCTCATTGTCGACGACATATCTACTGATCTGTCAAAACAACAAACCAGCTGGATGGATTTAATGGCATATGTGCCCCACTTTGCGGAAGCGCCGAGTGTGGAGGTAAATTGATCTCTTTAGTAGTCCTTGAGTAACATAATTCAATCACTAATATGACTATACAAACGCAACGCTTCAAATTTATCATTCACTAACACAACCATATAATTTTGACATTAAATAGCGTGCTCCGGTTATTCAACATATCTGCGAGCAACCGCAAGAAGAAGATGAAATAAAGAATATTATAAAAGGAAACCGGATTTGGAATAAATTGAATCGTTGGTTTTTAAAACTACGTATTTTGTCTAGGAGACATCCCTTGACTCGCTGGTGCCTTAAAAGTACAACCGCAGTGAATTATGAGATTTCAAGACACCTAAAATCACATCGTTACATGATACATCCTTTTAGTTTATTCAGGTTGTCTTTAAATTCTTTTCTTTTGATAGTTTATATGTACATATTAATGATGCTAATTTTCATAGGATTGTTTGGGAATCGTTAATGATTGTATTTACATTTGTGGCTCTTTTGGTTACTCCAGTGTCCATCACGTTTTTCTTTGGCAGACATACTAACTGGCACGTGATTAACGACACGATGAATATAGTGTTTCTCTGCGATATTGTAATGTGGTTCTTTACTGGATATTATGATTATCGAACGAAAGTCACTGTCCTTGACCCTGTCATAGTAGCGCGGTACTTTCATTTCTAGATGATACTGCTAATCTATCGATGCTATACATTACCACTAATCAATTTTTTTATCAGTAATCTCAATATATTTTTTGTATAGGAAATACTTGCAGAGCTATTTCTTCATAGACATCTTGACCGTGTTACCTATAGGACTCATTGATTATATTATACCTAACTCGATGTGGTATTGTACTACATTAAACATGATGAAGATATTAAGAGTCCGCAATATCATCGTTTATTTTAGTAGAGTTCGCGATGTTAGTACATAGTTCGCATTGAAGATCGCGAAGAAAGAATAGCTGATTAGAATGATTTCGTAATTTCAGGTGTATAGAATAAGTTTTCAATTGCATAAAATTCTAGAGTCGTGCACGGTCGTGATAATATGCATTCATTGGGCTGCTTGTCTACAATATTATGTCCCCATATCTGTAGATACATTAGGTACTTTAAGCAACAAGTTAGTATTTGCAATCCAATAAATTTGTTTTTTTTATCAATTCTGAGTTTATATTCAGCTCTTGGATCAAGTCGTCACATTTTGTAATTAAACGAACGAAAGTACAAAAATACCTCGTGTGCCTGCATCGTTCGATTGTCGCTTGTGCTCGCTCTGCTCACTATTTGGATATGAAAACGCAAGAAGATATTATACTAAACTTGATCCTAACGATCATCGGATTCCTTGGTAACGTATTTTTATTAAGTAAGTATCTCCTATACCAGATGTTATCTTTAGATTTACAAATTGTAACTGCATTTCTTGTAGCGCAATTCTCTCAACTAATGACAACGATCAATATAACTATCAAACGTCACCTGAAAATAATACAGCAGTTACAGGAGTACATGCGATACAAGGAGCTTCCACATGCCCTACAACGTCGGCTATTAACTTTCTACCATTACCGCAACAGAAAGAGCTTCGAAAGGAATAAGAAAATAATAAATGAAGTTTCGCCATATTTACGAGAGGTTTATCCATCCTAACAATACTTCGATAAAATTATTTAGAATCAATAATTCTTCTTAATATTCTATATATCTAGAAAAGAGAATATATACATATAATCAGATATTTTAATGATAAACATTTATCCTCCAGGAACTTATACTGCATAATTATTTGAGACTGATTAATAGCGTAGAATTATTCAAGCATTTACCGGAAACTGTAATCGTACAATTAACGAGTTCATTACACTCTGAGATCTATATGACTGGCGATGAAATCGTCAAAGCTGGTACCCGTGGTGAAGCTTTGTATTTCATTTCATCCGGTACCGTAGCAGTTTACACTGCCGTGGGAAAAGAAGTAACATTAACATTATCGTAATTCTTTATCGACTATTACTTATCTTTTTCTCATACTTTTCGTTTGTTGTGCGAAACATAAAGGTTTGTCACTTGGAAGACGGAAGTTATTTCGGAGAGATCGCTCTGGTGATGGACACCGAGCATAGAATAGCAACCATAGTTGCGGTGGAAACTTGTGAAATCTTTGTATTATATCGCCACGACTTTCAGAGATTCATATCACCGTATCCTGATCTCTTGAACCGGCTGCAAAATGTTGCTCTTGAACACTTAAACGAAAGCCTTCTTCTGGACTCCACGCAGGATTTAGGAATTTCTACCACGCCGCAATATATTAATATAAGCAGTATAAAAAGCAGAAGAATATAGTTATAAATATAAATAAAAGTTAGATATCCATCCCATGATTCAAATATTAAAATCCACATTGATATGTTTAAATTTTACTTTCAATTTTCATTTTAATTTATTACATATGTTTTTAAATACTTCACGTAACATAAAGATTCTCATTTTTTTAACAGAATAGAATAGAAAATTCATCATAATTCACTTTATACAAATTAACAACGATAAATTTTTCTTCTGTACGGATTCCTATACGACTGTTGATAAACTGACATGAGTCTCCAATGTTCTGGAAAGTCGGCGTCTCTACATCCATTAACAACACTAAATGGAGGAGCTAAAGTATTGATGCAAGGAGACTTTCTAACACAAGGCGTTTTTAGTTTCGATATCGCTGTCTTGCTTCCGCATTTTTGTTGATTGTTTTCAGCCTTTTCTGTACCCAATGCCAATCCGACGGCTGATTTAATCAATCTAGGATCTTCACGTGTATTTCTAGTCTGGTCTTTGCAGGCAACGCACTTCCTGAAATATCCTGCTGTTGGTCGTTCATCAACTTGAACCTGCTTTGAAATTTTTATTCCATTCAAGCCATTACAAAGACTATCACTGCAGCATTTCACGCTTTTATAATCTCCTTTCTTATTTCCGTTTTTTGAGCAATCTAAATCTCCCTCTAATTTACAATGATATTGACGGCAAGTACAACCTTTCTCGTTTCTCGAAATTCTAGAATGAGCGGTGGGTCTAGAAGTATGTTGAACAAGAGAAAATATAGCTGGCGCGAGTCCACCTTCTGACCCATCGATATGAGTAGATCTAGGTGGTTCATAAACTGGATTTATTGGAGTTTCCCAACAAATAGCTAGATCCATCTTCGTCTTGGGCTCCTTGCAGCCTAAAACTGGTCCATAATGCTTAGTCAAGCTCATGAAACGATCTTCAATTTCATGCTTACAACATTCACAGCATTTCTTCGACGAGATTCCATTACGACATTCTTCTGGTTTTACATCTTTGAAAACCGAGTCGTTGACTTTGTCAGGAAGGGGTTGATGTTCCAAATTCTCTGCATGAAGCTTCTTCGCTATAGCAAATTGATCGTAACAGGCTAATCGGTTCTCTGGCAGTGGTTCTGGAAGTTCTTCCTTAACGCATCTTTTTCTGGAAGCGTTTGGCACATTCCTGTTCAATGAAGATATTCTTAAATTTCCCGAAACGTATCGTGGCTGGCAACATGCGTGGGACTCGTCTTCCCAACTGATTAATTTTCCCGAACAGTGAGCGCAACACTTCTGAGTCTTCATATTTATCGGTCTTCATTTCCTCGTTCTTTTCGGATAAATCAATCCATAAAAGATATACAAATGGAACGTAATTTTTTAGACTGAAGATAAGTCCTACTAAATTATTTACTTGAAAAATATAAATAAAATGCTTCTTGAATTTTTTGTTAGATCTTGAAAATCTGATTTGCCAAGTGTATATCTGCCAGTTCCCGTGTCCAGCTTGAACCAATGACTGTAGGAATGCTACTTCCTACCTGAGAGTTAACGACGATGGTTGTTTGCTTGACAACGTGATAGCTCGATAATCACGATGCTCTACATATGTAGTTATACGAAGCTAATCTTAGGTCCAAATAATTTTAGAATTTATAGAATATCTCGAGAATGAATCTTTGAATGGAAGACGGGTTTAAGGATAATTAAGAAATTATTCGATTATATTATCTAATTACGATTTCTAGACATGAAACTATTTAAGTATTTTAAGCTTAGGATTTCCTAATAATTGTTTATGTCGATTCTTGGAAAGATGACGACCGTATAGATAGATTATTTTAAAATAAAACGTCTGAGTCGCCTGTATGTTAGATGGATTCACGCGACCAGAAAAGTTCTTAAATCGTCTGTAATTCCTCGTATCGTTGCTCAATGTAGATGCGTACGTGTCTTTTAACAAATTCGTTGTGCTTCGAATCGGGAATCACCAGTTACGACGGGGAAATACGGTGAATCTGTTTTATATCGTTCATTACCCAGGATTACTGATTTGGAACTTTACCGTTCGTTACCGCGTACATCAAATATCATTCTTTTTCGACGAAATCAGCGAACATGAAAATATAATTTGAAAACTTGTTTTTATACGTATTTTTAAAATAGGATCCACGTACATTACTAACTTGAAATAATAAAGTTTGTATTATTGCTAGGATATTGTTAGAATTTTGTTTACATTTTACATTCTCGTGTTTCTCTGACTTCGCAAACAAAATTTACATATTATTTATAGCCGCACATCGATGATCTCGTAAGATCCCATTGGAGCAATGCCATTCCCCTTCTACTGCTGAAGTCTTGACATAAAGCGTCAGAACGCGTCAGAACGCATCTTTAAATGTGGCTAGAAAAGCACGTGGTAGTTGCAGTTTACATGTAAACTCTAAACCATTTCTTTTTACTCGTCTACATACCTAAATTGTTTAAAAAGGAAATTTAATATAGTCAAACAAATAACTACATGTGATATATTGTAGAAGCATATTGAAACTTAGTTATTTTCAATAAAAATAGAAGTGATCATTGATTTTATTCTACTTTCAACTTACTTCTAAGAATTGTTTGAAGACTCTACATAGCACAGCAAAGTGAATCGATCCAGCGTAAAGAAACAGTACAACTAAATGATTGGTATCAGTAAACAGTAGCCTTGAAACACAAATGGTAAATCCAAGGGAAATACGACGTATGACATCACAACAACGGACATGAATCAGCTTGTTCTCATCTAGTGAATGAACAGAAGCATTGTATTAAAACGTTTCAGTCAAGTTTAAAAGTGTTGCCAGTCGAAGCCCTTGTGACACACGAAAACTTATTTAAACGAAAGAAACGCAACGCGAGATACAAGGAACATACATCGTAGTGATATTCAAGAGAGGTAGATAATATAAGCCACAGACTCTTGTGTTTGCAATACTAATTCGTATCTGATTTATTTTTTCCTGCTACATTCTAAAAGAAAAGAGCATTATCGGGAAACGAGGAAACCAAAAGAAAGAAGGTGCTTTTAGAACTTCTATGAAACTTGTTGGAGGTGATTATCTCTTCTCGTTGTTATTCGAATAACGTTGAAGATATATTGACAGTGGTTGAACGAACGTATTTTCTGCAAGTTAAATATGGCTGAACCAAGAGATAAAAGTGATGAAATGATTATTTATATGGATAAGGTTGGTGATAAAGAACGATTGACAGAACCATTGACTTATAAACCTTTAGCACTAAAGACTATATCGCGTTCCGGTTCCATGCTCGAGACAGACAATACAAACAATCCACGACCGACGTCCGGCCCAGAAATCGATGATCTAGAACCGGCAGGAAGTTTTCCGACAGGATTTGGTCCTCGGATAGGAATTGATGATGGTCTCCTGCCAAGTGAACCAGAAATCCCAAGAACTCCATTTTTACCATCGCCATCTATGCCGCCTATTCAGCCGATACCTGACGTGAATATCTACCAACACAAGAAAACGCTCGCACAAGGAATGATGGATCTGGCTCTTTTGTCTGCTAATGCAAATCAGTTGCGTTATGTTTTACAAACTGACGGGGGGCATCCGTATTATTATCCATCATTGGTGCTAATAGGCAGCAGCCTAATATTACAAATTGCAGTGGGAATAGGGTTAATTTGGAATAGTAGATACGACGTTAATGATAATGCTCAAATGTGCAAGGCCAACCGGGCTAATAATTGGACAGTGATCGGTATATTTCTAGTAACAATTTTTAATGTCTTCATTTCGTCATTCGGCGTTGTTGATCAAGTATCAGTAATGCCTATAGTATCTAGAATTGATAGTGAAAGTGAAAATTAATAACAAATAACTGCGCGTATCATTATTTTATACCATAAATTTAAGATATTTAAATGATAAAAAGGTATTGATTTTTATTTTACTATAAAAATGAGACTTCAACACAGTGGGGGATTGACTGTAATATTTCTTTTAGTTTCTTAGAAAGTTCCTCTTTCCTTTTGTCTAAATCTTCTGTTTTTTTGGTCAGGTCACCAGAAATTTCCATTAGCCACCTTTCTATTTCTGTGTTATTACCTTGGACCTTTAATAAACGTGAAATGCATTTGGGTTCATAATCTTGAGAATTAATAGTTTCTTCTTTAGATGATAAAGTTTCAAGTTTTTCTTCAATCACAGAACATAACAAAGAAATAAACTTTGAAACTTCATTCCAATCTACACCTTCAAAGCTGGTGTTCAGTGATTTATTATGTTCTTGAACTACTGTTACCTGTAATTTTTATTACCGGTATTGTATTCTATTTTATAAGATAAAATGTGCGAATATAATATCAAATTTCTTCCATTTACCATCCATTCAAAAAATATATGTTTCTTTTTAGACCACTTCATATGTATATCTAATAAACTAGCAATAGTTGATAATTCTTTTATATATTTTTTGTCTTCATTGGAAAGTGCATTTTTATTGGTAGTTGAGATACGTTTTACCAGTGCTGTCTCTGATACACTTAGATGTGGAAGACCACAAACTTCAACACTTGCAGTATGAATTTTGCTTATTAACTTAGCCTTCTCAGAAATCAGTTCAGATATCTCTTTTATATTATAATTTACTTTACCATTTAAGTACAATATATTATTTATCTGTGCACTGAATGTCTCTGGTATATTATACTGTGTTTCCTTCTTCTAAAGCATAATTAAGTTATAAATACCTTTTACTTGATATTTTCATTTAATTCAGTTAATTACCTGTTGTACGCTATTCAACCGTGAACATTCTCTTCCTAGCACACTATTAGACAGATTTATGTGAGTGATAACACTTAGAATATCTTGTGTTCCAAGAAGCCATGCAAATGCTAATAATAATGGTCTGTTATTTTTACTACTCTCGCTTAAAGCATAAAACTCTATTGCAGGGTATTGTAAATATGCAAAACACAATTTGGTAGCCCATATTGTATCTAAAAGAAAGATTAATCTTGTAAATACTAGCATCAATTAAAAAGTTCTGAAAGAAAGAACTAACAAAAGTTACCATATTTTTGAAAATCAATTTTAATTTGTTTTTCTTTTACAGCATAATAGCTTAAGACATTCAGTGCTGTCCAAAACGTTCTAGTCTAATACAGAAAAGATTATATATTAGAAATCCTTATTTCATAGATGTTAAAACGTGTAGCGTTATACATAGAAAGGTTATGTGATATCGTGCATAATACTCACGACATTTTCTGCCGTGCTATTAAATTTTGCCAGCCTAAAATATTCAGGTTTCATCACGATGTTGATTGAGAAATTTAAATGCTGACATAATAGAGACAAAACACTCTTTATATCAGACATTATTGTAATTTAAATTGAGCTAATATTTCACGTGTACAGATTTACTTGATTTCACGCGCGTTTTTTATACTGCCAAACCGTTCCAAAAACCGTTTCATCTATTCAAATAAATTCAGTTTCAATGAAAGCTAATTTTCTTTGTTATATAGAATTCTAATATATCCTAAAATTTCGCTGTTATTCAAACGTTTCAGTGAAATTTCATGCTTTGCATTTATAATTCTTGAAATATATGGCTATTACGGCTATATACGGCTATATACGGCTACAAAATGACCGGCTAGTATTTGGGGCTTTAAGAAAACAAAGAAAACGGTTTCCCAGGTATCGATGGATATCAGGTAGTTTTGATCCCTAGCGGCAAATATAAGTACCTTCCGACTTAAATTTAGACGATAATAAATATGAACATTAGGTAGGCTCAGGTTAAAATACGGCATTTCATTTTACACTAACAGTTACTATTTGTTCTGGTTTATTTATATACATATAATTATTTTTCTCTCGAAGTTTCTTATCCTTTACTTATTTCTAAACCATTTATCCTAATTTATATTTATTCTGATTAATTCTTCAAGTACCATCAAAACTTGCATGTATACAGCAAAATCTCAGTAGTATTGTTTATTAACGATAGATATTTTATTTTAATGGAAAGTAAAAAGAGAAAATCAATATTAACATTCAAACAAAGATATTAATTTAGCGCACGATAAGAATGAAAGTATAGAATATGAAAGAAATGAAATATAAAGAAAAATATATATGAATATATGTGAATGAACGGTAAAGAAAAATATATACAATGAAACGGATTGTATACCTGATGTTACTGTTATACAAATATCTATGATGCATCGCAGATGTCTCTTGCCCCATTACCTGGAGTACTAATTGTAAGAAACTACAATTACAAGCCATTGCCGTGACTGTGACTAAAACTCTACCTGGTACGCAAGGAACAGGTCAATTGTGTACGATCAGTCGAACGTATAAGATCGCCGAGTAATCAGCCGAAGTTTCAGTCTTGTTGTCGAAGTCGCCGTAGACGCGTGTGATCTTTGCCCTACGAACAGTTGGCGAACAAAATCAATAAACAAATACAGTGTTTCTAAATATTTTCCGAATAAAACAGTGCAAATTTTGTGACTTATTAAATATTAAAAGTATTAGAAAGATGACCTCGAAAATCTTTAGACTCACCGAACTTTGTTTTTTAATAACGCTACTGGTAAGAAATCAGCTTTTTTTTAGATACATGTATACTGTGATAGAAATGTGGATATAGCTTTGAGTAGTTCAGATTATCTAAATATTAAGACCAAAATTATTATTCACGGGTATTTCGTAGCCGCGAACTACTTGTTGAAATAATAACTGATTTCATTTTGTAAACGATGAACGTTCAGTTTTAATTTTCCTTTCGTAGTTAATAGGATTAAATTATGCTGTAAATAATAATCCATCCGCAATATCTAAAAGAGATTATTTAGTCAGAAAAAAGTTACTGTGAGAGATAAATCAAAATATAATCATCTTGTGTAGAATTATTCTTTTTTTGAATGTTAAATTCATTGTAAAACATTTGAAGTTAACATTTACTATATTTACGTAATTCGTGGTTTGTTGTCGTGTAACAGAATCTTAGTAGTCAAGATAAACTTAGATGAAGTTAAATTATATCAGCCTTCTGTTACTTCTGAGCTGATGAACCGTGATAAAAGAGTATCTTTCTAAGAAATAATATATCTCTCTACCTTTATTTAATATTTAGTATATCTATTTATAAATTAGCTATAGAGAATGAGATTAGAGAAAAAGATGTAAAGACATTAATTTTAATTTGTATATATTTGTCATAAATATTTAATATCTTTTTAATTCGACGTTTACAATTCACGAAATTTGATAACATAATATTTGTTATAGGAGTAATATATTTTCTTACCATTCAACACTTACTTTTTGAATATAATAAATTATCATATTTCTTGGAGCCTGTTTAAGAATAATCCATGCCGAATAAACTGGTGAATACCGGTATAAAATTAAATATTAATTTGTCTAGATAAGTTCTCAACATCGCCGGTGTATTTTTTTTAATTTCTCGACGTTTCGTTATTATTGAAAGTTCAAGTTCATTAAAAGTATCAATCCTGCTATTGCTCATTCGTTTATGAAACTACATCTTTTATCTCTTTTTTTCTTTAAATGTTGTCACTTTATTGATGTAATTTGCATCGGATCTGTGAAAGCCTTTACATAAATTCTGTACATATTGAGAAATATATAATCGAAGCATTATTGATTACGACTCATTTATTCGATCTTGAAATGTCTTATTTAATAAGGAAAGAACAAAGATACAAAAGCTAAGATAAAAAACAGAGAGATAGTGTAATCTACAAGGAAAAGATTTTCTTATTCCTGGAATTCGTTAATCAAGCATAAGAGTAAATAAAAGTTTATATGGTTAACATTGATAAAAATAATAATATAATAAGTAATACTATTTTAAGAAATAATGGAACTTTTAAGAGCATAACATTTTCGTGATAAGGCATTTATCACGATGCGTCTGTAATTTCAATTAATTTTACTGAAACATGCAATACTTATATTATTTTTAGAAGATGATTGTTGAACTTAACTATCTTTTTACATTTATTGTTACTTTTTACAGATGCCACAAAATATTTTCGTGCAATCAAAAGACATTCACCAAAGTACTATTAAATTGGCAAATCGACACAAAGGTATGATTGTAAACCATAATTGGCGACAATTTTAAAATAATGACTTTTGAGAAAAATGTTGAAAAGCATGTATATACTGAAAGCATAAAGTAGTCATCCAGTAGTTAATCATATTATTATAATTGAAGAAATTAATGTTTAATCTTTAGTAAATTATATTTTTTATATTTTATTAAATCATTCATAACGTGGCATGCTATTAGATGACACGATTATATTTCCTGGAGAAAAGAGACACGTGCCCCCCGCTTGCAAAGGATCCACTTATTGTGAGAACGTAGATTCTTATCCCGAAGATATAGTGAATAGGGCGCTTCGAATAAACGAAAGCATTAAATATCTTTCTAGTGTAGATGGAGTAAGTACAATGCAATATTTTTCAATACTCAAAGACCTTTTAAACAATTTTTGAACTGTTGTAACAAATTTTGTACGATTTTAGGTTGATATAGGACAGAGGCTCATGCCAAACGATGAACTATCCCTTTGCGTAGCTGATGTAAGTACTTATGTATAAACAATAAAAAATATGTCATCTTTTTTTGTTATAAAAATGAATATAATACGATTGAATATAAAAATGGTAAACTTTTCATTTCTACTATTTCTAATTTCATTACTATTCAAGGAGCAAATTATATTTCCTCAATCAGCGGAGAACAAAGACAATGAATGGAAATTCATCGCGAATCAAAAAAATTTCAAACAGGGCATACGGATTGAGAAGTGTAGGTAAGTATACCGTAAAATATCACAATAGACTTATTTTCTACAATTTTCTAAAAGATATACAAATGTTATATTTTACAAGAAAATAGTATAAATATTTTTGTATGGTTTACAGAACGGAGGGCGCCAGCTGTAGCGTGATAAGTGGACTTGCTGCAGGTTACGAAACAAGTTGCAAGCAAAAATTCATTTTTAGAGAATTGTTATCAATATCGGAAAACGGTAGTGTTGCTCCAGATATTTTCCGATTCCCAGCGAGTTGTTGCTGTTTTGCAACACTCACTGGAAATCTACTTACAAGAATGGGTATAGGGCAGCAAAGTCAAATTACATCTACTACAGCACCTATTAAAAATAGATGAATAAATTGAAAAATATTTTTCTATACAGTTTTGACATAATATGCATAGGTATATAAATACATATACATATATACACACATATATATATATACACACATATACATATATATATGTATATATGTGTGTGAATATGTAAAGAAAATATAAAACAACTCATGTAAGATAAGTTTATCAGCTTATTGTTAGCTGTTGGATCTAAACTTATAAGAAATTAAAATACTCGTAGGCATTTTTCCGATCATCCATATTTTATGGATATTCGAATACTAATTTAAAAGAACAGCGTATTGATACGTGTACATATCTAAACATTTAAAGTACAATTTATCTAAATGTGTTTATACTTCCTTTCTTATAATTATACATTTTTTACAATTGCAAAAAGTTTTGTAGTAGGAATGAAATGACTTTATATCATGTGATACTATTTGATATGTTAGTGACATTGATAATGCGATTCTTAGTTTAAGAATATTGTTTCTTATGTACTCATTCACCAGCTATATCTTACATAAAATAAAGATTATAATGTTTATATTTGTTATGAAAAATATGTAATATAAAAAAGATGAAACAATATACTCCACAAAAACATATGGAAAATATATGTATATTTACATCCAAAGGATCCACTTTGTTCTAATTTGTCAATACGCGAGTTTATTCTTACACATTAAATACAGTACTTACAATTTTATTCTATTCATTATTTTTTCGCAAAATTTTCTACAAGTGATCCAATGTTTATACATTATGAATTAAACATTCTTTTTACCTAAATTTCGAAGACATAAATAATTCGTGATGCACAGAGGATAAAGATATTCAAGAAATTACATGTACATTTAAATTAAGAATATTTTTCTGAGTTATCTAGCAAATTTATAGATCTACATTGGTCATTGGGAGAATTTCTTTAAAACCCCCTGTTTCCTTTTCTTTCACATTGGTTCATGGTTATATCCTCGACAGATCACAATTTGTAATTTTAAAATATAACAAACAATGATTAGCATAATTCATGAGATTTAATAGAATGGTTATAGACTAGGCAAATACATATAAATCATTTTCTCAATTTTTGACACATCTACGTTCCGAAAATTACCTAATATAGGTTTATACACCCTATTCAAGGATGAATACAGAAGTAGGAAAAATGGGCCGTGCTTTGTGAACATGAACGTTCACCATGTATACGCTAAAAATATCTATCGATTAGTCAGCACAGGTGAGCTATGCAGAATACATTCTTTTCTTTTTACAAAAACACTACCTAGTAACACGGAGTACTTATATTCGCACTTGCAATTATAAGAACAGTATCTAATACTTATTAATGAGAAATCTACTACTATAAAAGTTCTTCTCATATCCAAAAAACAAGTAAATATGATTAACATGTAATATAACAGTTATTATGTTATTACATTACCATTTACATTAACAAACATCGATTTTCTTTTAATGGAAGTATAATTGTAAGTAAAAAATGCACCTGGAAGAAGTTGTGTACAATATGGCAGTTTCTGTTTCTATTAGGTATCCAGTCTTTACTATGTATAAAATTGGAGATTCAAATAGCATGAAAGTCAAATACTTATTTACAATTAAAATGTTAATTTCAATTGCGAAATTATCTCTGTATGAATGAGAGTAACTTTTAGTGTAATATACTTAAGATACATCAAAAAATAAAAATGATTTACATTGTGTGTTTACAAAGCTTTTGTTTGTGTTAATCTTAAACATATTCAAAGTATTTTTTTTGAGCATATTCTGAAAATACAATGTAACAGCATGTATGTCCACCCTCATACAAAGATTATAAATGTTAAAAATTAGTCATTTTTTTTAGTCATGTCAGAAGATTATTTGCAGAACAATCTGAAATTGCTTTATAATTGTTTTCAACATGCCTGAAATGAAAATAATTGATATTTTGTTAAAAACTTATACTTTCTTATAGTATTTTAATGCATATTCCTGATGTACCTTGACACTGTATGCATTGTCATAGCCTCCTTTCATTTGCATTTGTGCCTGAATATTTGACAATTGTGCATTGCTCATATCGAGATCTCCACTACTAATATGTCCAGTATGCCTAAAGTTTGTAGGTACTCCTATCATGCTACGATCTATCCTTAATCTCTGATGTGACCTCTGTCTTCCATTCCGTGTCCTTGGTCCTTGTTGCATCAAACAACAGGTAAAGCACTGTACCCAAAGTTCTCCACTGCCAGCCATTATTTGCTTCAATTACGTGCTTTGAAATCTAAGACATATTTTGAAAAATACAAATAAATATGTGTATTATAAATATATATATGTATACATATAAAAATATACATTATGAATATGTAGTTAGCATATAAAAATTTTCTTATTGCATATATACAAACAATTCTATATATATATATATTTGAATAAGTCTGGAAACAAATAATTAACATTAAAATTATAAATTAAAATTTAGATCAAATAATTATCAAACAATACAATGTAAAATTTAATTTCTGCTTTTTTCTAAAAATGGTTATTATTTGAAACAATTTTTATGAATCAAATTGATAAATTGTCTTTATCGTTATGCGAATGAGTCAGACAAAAACGAAAGAGTATAGATTAATAAGAAGTTCGTGCACTTACAAAGTCGTCAAGTAATCGTACTGTCGTTCGGTCTAACCTTCGTGATGGCTCGAGACTCAAAGGCAGAGAGAAGCAAAACAAACATTCCCTTTTGATCGATGAGTTTACATGTGTCTGCAAAGGACATTGAGGCTATTTGTACATTTATACGACATAAACATAAATTAAGACCTATGGAACAATGTTAAGGATTTGCGTGAGGAATAAACACTTGACTCCGTGGGAGAACAAAGAGTAACGAATAAGACGTACCGGTTTATAAGATGTAGACTTTTGTATTAATTTCCACAAGGCACGTAGATCTGCGTCCTTCTTTCCACTTCTAATCAATTCATGGAACTATCCTAAGAGGATTGTTTTTCACTACATGTTTTATTAACATATTTCGAAGAGGACCTAACAGCAATTACTTTATCGGTCCTTTTTCTGAAATAATCCAAATGATGTTCAAAACAATTTCGGGTTGGTAAAATATAAAATACGAATTTCAATGTGATCAACGGTGGTATAGTGAATTATACTATACCACAGAGGAAATAAGAGTGGTTACGCTTATGATTCTGGTTGTTCTCGGATTAGTGCTGCACCATGCGGCCAAGTGTTGAGTTCAATTAAAGTTAGCACGCACAAGAACCTTTATAATTAGAGATCTGCCCTGTTTGGTTGCAATTTAGCATATATAAGAACCTATCTATTTAAGCTTAAAGTTAGGGATCTGCCTTGTTTGGTTACACACTAGCATAGACAAGAACCTATTGAGTTCCACGCTACAAGAACCTATTTAATTGTACAGTTTTACTGAAAAGTTCATATCTACTTTTCTATCTGAGATAGACAAGTATGAAAATAACAAAATCATTATTGCTCATAGCAATATTATATATGTAAATACTTTACATAACAAATAGCCTAAAAATACCAAACTTTAATATTGCATAATTTTTTAACCAGTACAATGGATTCCTGAACTTCAAATCCTAATTCGAAGACTAAATAATTATATGAAGAAAAAAGGGTGTACCTTTAACCCTACTTTATATGTATCATCGTTCAAAGATATAGTAAACAATTAATTTCTCTTTCTTAGGAAACTTAGAATTAGTTTCATTATTGCGCGATTTTGTCATTCTCATACTTGTCTATCTCGGATAGAAAAATTGATATGAACTTTTCCGCAGAATCGTACAATTAAATAGGCTCTTGTAGCGTGGTACTCAATAGGTTCTTGTCTATGCTAATGTGCAACAAGTTAGGACAAATCCCTAACTTTATAGGTTCTTGTGCATGGTAACTTTAGTTGAATTCAGCACATCGTCGCATGGTGCAGCACTAGTTCGGGGATACCAGCTCCATAAGCGTGAGCACTCTCAATTTCTCTCTGATATGGCGTCACATTAGTGAGGTGCTGCCATCTGTTGGATTCCGACTGAAATCAAGAAGAAGTAATAGGAATATAGAACGTACAAGTAGGAATCAGCAACGAAGAGTGCGACAAGGAGAGAAATACTGTGCCACAAGGACAGATATATTTCTCCGTTTGATCTATGCGCTTTTCGCATCGTATAATAAAGATTGAATACCAAAATACTTTCGCATATAGTTTTGAAAAAGGATTTTCGCTTAAATGATTAATTATTAATTGTTATTGTACGACGTTTCATTATTGCATAGTACCGATGCCATAAACTTTTACATAATTTACATTATACCTAATTAATTTATGAACTTTCTTGCATGGAATATAAGGTACATGGGATCTAAGGAAATTTCTATAATTACATAGAATATTAATTAACTTTCGCAAAGTTTAACATTAATAAAAATATCATTAATATTAATAAAAACTTGTAGATATATATCGCACTCGTTGCTCGACATTTTATGCAATAATTTCTAATAAATAATTAGTTAAACAAAAATTCTTCTTCGATAGTATGTGCGAGAATCGTGAAGAATCTAATCTTTGTTATAAGATTCCAAAAGTGTACGAATTTCTCCCAGAGAAAAAGTAAATAATTAATGTTGCATTGATTAGACGGAGAAATATGTCTATCCTTCTCACCCTCAAATATTGCCCTCCTTGTCGCACTTTCAGCAACCTCCTTACGCATTCTACGTTCCTATTACAATTTTTTAATTTCAATCGAAGTTCAATAAATGGCAACAGTCATTCTTAGTTACAGAAAGGGACGGCGCAATTGCGCGAGAAGGATAGATAGATAGATAGATACATATCTCGCGTTTCAAATCAAAGGATATTAATTAATACGTAACTCGATATTTGGCATACATCCCTATACTCTTGGAATTGTTTTACAAAGATCAGAGATTCCGGACAACTTGCAGGCAAAATTTCCGTTCATTCTTATTACGGAACAGTTAATTGGAACGATAACTCCGGACATTATCTATTCTTATAAGATCTTTCG